TTTATCTGGCCCTAAAAGCCACGTACGAGTATCTCCCATTGAAAATGTAGCATATTTAAAATTTCAGGGTTTCGGGAATGAGGATGGCATTTATTTAACTAAGAAAGCGGTAACATTTTATAAACCCATGTTATATTTATTGTAAATGAGGGCCAGGGCATCTGAGTGACAGCTGAAATTATAAGCAATTTGGGACATCCAATTTTCTGGGGAAAAGGCTGCCCACAGGGAAGTCTTGGCTTAGTGACAAAGTGTACGAACGCTGAAACCAGTTTTTCCAGGTTTGAGGACCAGCTGCGTGCACTGGAAATGTGACCTTGGGCAACTTGTTTAAGTTCTCTCTCTTCTGTCCTTTTCTTTTGGGTTAATCAGTAAAGCAAGGCAAGTGGAGAAGGTACAAAGAAATCTGTAGCTGGTGATCAATTACTGCTGCACTCAGACCAGTCAAATTCTTTCCCTTGGTTTTTTCATCCTGAAACAAGGGTAATAAGAGCACCTAGCTTATGGAGATCCTCTTCCATGGCACTAATCTTGCTTTATAATGATACATGTGATTATCATTCTTCCTAGGCTCTAGGCTGGAGGGCCTGGGTCTGTCTCATTATTTTAGCTCCAGTGCCTGGCCAGTGTCAACAAATATTTGTTAAACAAAACAAATAATAACGCCAACAATTCATAGGATTTCAACAATTGGATCTTTTAAAAAATTATATCTATATTTTAATATTTATCTGAGAGAGTGAGAGAGCGAGCGAGAGAGAGAGCATGAACAGGGAGAGCGGCAGACGGAGGGAGAAGCAGACTCCCTGCTAAGCAGGGAGCCCGATGCTATGTGGGGCTCAATCCCAGGACCCTGGGATCATGACCTGAGCTGAAGGCAGACGCCCAGCCAACTGAGCCACCCAGGCACACGCAATCAGATCTTTATATGCCAGTACACATCTGAATTGGAACTTGCGTCCCTGCTTCCCAAGTATGGCCAGAAAATAATATTTTAAATCACCTCTATTTTAAAATTTGCCCTTTAAAGGAAAACAAGAACAAAATATTAACTTGGCTAAAATTGCCGAACTTTTTCAGCACTGAACCCTAACCAATTTCTTTTTGTAGTTATGAGAAAAGAGTTGGTTCCCAATGAAGTCTTTTCAATCTAAAAATTATTTTCTGATTTCACTCCAGGTCTATACAATAAGTTTCGACTTCAAAGATAAGACTTCAAAAAGTGTTTGTCAGGTGCCTCCTTATATCTCATTTATAAAAGTGAAAGTTTAGCAGTTAGCTAAAAGTTTAGCTCTCAGTTCATCATCTTAAACTGATTAAATACCACCTTCCTGTCTATTAAACAAAAATGATTTGCTGTACTCCTAGGCAAAACCAAACCAAACCAAACCAAACCAAATCAGCCATCCCCCCCAAAGCCCAAAACTAAAAATCCAAGACAAAGCAAATTTTAAAAAGCCAGAATCTGGGGTGACTGGTGGCTCAGTAGGTTGAGCATCTGCCTTTAGCTCAGGTCATGATCTCGGGGGTCCTGGAATGGAGCCTCATGTGGGGCTCCCTGCTCAGCAGGGAGTCTGCTTCTCCCTCTCCCTCTGCTCCTCCCCCTTTCCCCCCAATTGTAAAAGCAAAACCCTCCACACTTTGCTTGGATTTTCTGAAAAAGTTTTAAATATCCTCTCAATTAAATCCACAAATGTTCTCCTCTTTGTCTTCTGAATGCTGATATTTTCAGTATTTGGAATTAAGTTTTTGTTCAACCTATAATTTACTGTGTTGGGCTCTGGCATGGGGCTGCCTGGGTCCCCACTCTACTGCTCTCTAGTTGTACGAGCCCTTGGATATTTCCTTCTTGCTTAATTTCTGCCTCTCTAAAATAGGAGCAAATATATGAATCCTATTTTATAAGAATGAAGATTAAAATAAGAGATGGCACGTAAGAACTTAAGAGTTCCATACACAAGAGCCAGTATAACCATGTAACCAGATCAAGCCCATTTTTTTGTATTTCCTTTTAGTCAAACGTGATGTCTACATACGGTGCTGGCGTAATTAGCCAGGTCGAAGATGAGCTACCTTTTGATGACTAAGAATGCTTTTGGAGGGGCGCCTGGGTGGCTCAGTGGGTTAAGTGTCTGCTTTCGACTCAGGTCATGATCCCAGAGTCCTGGGATCGAGCCCCGCGTTGGGCTCCCTGCTCAGCGGGGAGTCTGCTTCTCCCTCTCCCTCTGCCCCTCCTCCCCACTAAAGCGTGCTCTCTCTCTCAAATAAATAAAATAAAATAAAAAAGAATGGGGTGCCTGGGTGGCTCAGTTGGTTAAGCCACTGCCTTCGGCTCAGGTCATGATCCTGGAGTCCCAGGATTGAGTCCCGCATCGGGCTCCCTCCTTGGCGGGGAGTCTGCTTCTCCCTCTGACCCTCCCCCCTCTCATGTGCTTTCTCTCTCTCATTCTCTCTCTCTCAAATAAATAAATAAAACCTTTAAAAAAAAAAAAGAATGCTTTTGGAGTTAGTGCAGCAGGTGGAACGAATTGAGCCAACTGACCTCCCCAGGTGCCAAAGTCCTACAGATAGAGAGATGGTAATTCTCTTCATTCAGGAGAAAAGGGGGAGCAAGGCCTCTGTAGGGCTATTGGTGACAATAAAATAACTTCAAATTTCCTTTGTATTCTTTTTTACTACCTTGTACTTGGCAACAATACTGTATATCACAGACTCCATAAATTCAGTTCAATTACTACAATCCAGGTGGGTTATCAAAGTGCTTGTTGACCTATGTGACTCTGGGAGTGGGTCATAATCTTGAGATTATGAAAGGATTTGAGGGAAGAAGGACAAGGTCAAGAGTCTTCTGGGGAAAGCCATGGTCACCTTGACACCCTCCAGGGGTAGCAATCCCTTATTCCAGAACTGACTCTCAGTTGACATTCTTAAGACTCTGACTAGCAGGACACCAAAGCAACCCAATGGGCTTCACACACACAATCAAGCCCATAGAATTTTTTTTTTTAAGATTTTATTTATTTATTTGAGACAGAGAGAGAGAGTGAATGTGCGCAAGTAGGGAGGAGGTCAGAGGGAGAGGGAGAAGCAGACTCTCCTCTGAGCAGGGAGCCTGATGTGGGCCTTGATCCCAGGACCCTGAGATCATGACCTGAGCCAAAGGCAGATGCTTAACCAACTGAGCCACCCAAAGCCACAGAATAATGTATAAAGCTAGAATACAGTTTACTTACTGGCGTACAGTAAGAGTTGGAGATTGAGGTTCATCAATCAGAGCTTCTTTCTATGAAGACAAACCCGCTGGGAGAGAACCCCAGAACAACCAAAAAACAACCGAGGGGTTTTTGGAGTTGTACCTCTACATACTGGATGTGTGATGGATGAGCCTAATGAGATGGTGAAGATGAGGGTGGGGGGTGGGCTAGCAGATTTTCATCAAAATAAGATAATAGATGCTTTACTACAGAAATAGAGAAATTGAGGCTTTGTCTCAGTGGTCCTACCTCATCTACAGATGCAATTGTATTAGTTTCTTAGGCCTAGTGTAACGAAGTACCACAAGATGGGTGGCCTAAAACATCAGAAATGTACTGGGTCGCAGTTCTGGAAACTACAGGTCTAAAACCAAGGTGTCAGCAGGGCCATCCTGACCTCTATTTTTGCTGTCACATGGCTGTTTTTTCCTTGTGAATCTCTTTCGTCTTCCAACAAGGACACCACTCATGTTGGACTAAGGGTCCATTCTCCTTGGACCTCATCTTAACTAGTTACATGTGCACCAAAACTTACGGGGGCCATTCTATCCCTCCCACGCTCTTCTTTGTTCCATTCTCCCCCACTCCGCTTTTTCCATCTCCGAGTATCACCATTTTTGGCAAAGATGCTATACACATTATTATTATACTATTTTAGATATAAAAAATTGAGTTAGAATTACATACAGTAAAATGAGAGTGGCATGCAAATTTGTACTTTAAAATAAAAAGATCAGTAAACCTCGCAATTTGGTCTCAATTTTATTTTTCTAGATTCATTTGCTTTCCTCCCCTCTACCATGCTCATCCTTACAGAGCTGTCCTTTATTTCAAATTCTTTCAAATGCTGTGTTCTACTCAGGGAGTTTCTTCCCCCTGGAGAGCTCTTCAAGTCCCAGTTACTTCCTTGAAGCTTTCCCCCAAAACCCTTAGAGTAATGCAGCTCCTTTTTTTTTTTTTTTTTTTAAGATGTAATTTATTTATTTGACAGAGAGAGAGACAGCGAGAGAGGGAACACAACCAAGGGGAGTGGGAGAGGGAGAAGCAGGCTCCCCACCGAACAAGGAGCCCATTGCGGGGCTCGATCCCAGAATCCTGGGATCAGGACCAGAGCTGAAGGCAGACGCTTAACAACTAAGCCACCCAGGCGCCCCTAATGCAGCTCTTTTGGCACACTGTATGTGGTTCTCATTTTTTTCCTGTTCAATTGTTAGTTTTAACTAGTTTGTGAGTTCTTTCTCCAAGACAGCAGCCCCGGGGGGTGAGATGTAGATTGTCTTTCTTTGCATTCCAAGTGCGTAGCCCAATGCATGATACATAGTTATACTGTCAGTAAGTGACAATTAACACGCACATATGCACTTAAGAGTTTTCATAGAGCGTTCGCGCGATCTCATTTTCTCCCTCCTACAATCTTATAAAATAGCAGTTACTGCCACCCTATCATTTCCTGCTTGTAGTGGTGAGACTCAGGTTAATTATCTTGCCCCGCACCAGTCTGTAGCAAAACGTGACTAGAACTTGGTCTTGACTCCAAATTCCCCGCTCTGGACACCACAACAGGTTGAAACCAGCGCCCACTTCGCACCACGACTTAAACTTGGAGAGGCCACGAAGGCCGCACTGCCGGATATCGGGCTTGGAGATGCGCCCAGCCTCCGCAGCACTTAACAGTTTTGGGCTCCGGCAACACTGACTGCGTGGGACCTTGGACTACATCTCCCAGAGAGCCCTGGGGCAAACCCTCAGGTGATTGGTTAAAATGGATCCGTCAATACCCGCGACGTGCTCGTACAGACCAATCATAGGCCGGAAGGGGCAGGACCTCCCACGCAGAGGCTAGATTGAGCGGAGAAACTAACGTTGTAAGGTGTCCCAAAGCCCTAGGGGCTGAGATCCTCGGTCCCGCGCCCCGGGCGCCACGTCGTCCTCCTCTTCGGGTCCAGTCTGCGCCTTTCCCGCGACCCGACTTCGGGTCGCGCGTGTGTGGCCGCCAGCCCCGCGCCGAGGACAAGCCGGGTGACCGGGAAGGAAGCACGTGTTCGAGCGTTGTAGCGGCCGAGGGCGCGCCTGTCATCCCCACGCCGCGCCCAGGTCCCGCGGGAGGTCCCCCGCGCGGCGTGCGGTGCGCGGAAGGCCCCGGGCGCCGCGGGCTCCGGGGCCCTCGGTGCCCCCAGCGACCTGGGCCTCTGAGGCCGGTGCTGCCCGGCGTCGCTCTTGGCCCAGTCCTCCTGTGCAGAGTGCGACTTCCCGGCTTCGCCCCTGGCCTGCGGAGGAGGAGACTCGGCGGCATGTCACCCGCGCTGCCAGAGCTGACGCCTTCCGGTAACGCTGCCACCCGCTCTCCGCGGTTGGGTTGTTTATTGACTCCTGTTGTGGGCTCCTAATCCCTGGGGTAATTTTCCTCGCCACCTGGAGAGGCGCGCCAGGTTTCCTCGCGGGCGGGAGGGCGGCACCTTTGAACTGGCGGAGGAGCCGGGAGGTTCCACGTTGTTCTGCTGGATTCCTTCCCCACCTGCACCCCTTCCTCCCCAGACAGACAGACAGACAGACCATCAGCAGCCACGAGGCACTGCTCTCTCCCCGCGCGCCCGAAACACCTCTTCATGTCAAAGTAACTTTGCAGTTCGGTGCAACGTATTCCAGCGGGGCGCAATGAAAGTTTTGCCCGAGTTAACGTTCTCAATTCAATACATATTTATTGAGCACCTGCTGTGCTCATACAAAAAAAGTTCACGTGTTGAGGGACGGATAAGGAAACCCAGAGAACTATTTAAAACTTACAGGAAACGATTCTTTTCCGGGGTTAGAGCAGTCGTTCTGCAAACTCCAGTGGCATAGAATCACTGTGTAAAATGAGCAGTGAGTCGTGATGCGGAGTAGCAATCTCAAGTGATTCTGATGTGGATGGCTCTGAGATTAATGAGAAAAAACGAGTTTGGCTTAAGAACTGACAATAATTTCAGCTTTATAATGAGATCTGGGCCTCTAAGGTCATCCCTGGTTAAAATCTGTGGTCAAACATACCCATAAAAACATGTGAGGTATGAGGTAGGAAAAGTAGAAAGAAGAGAACCAGTCCTAAGTAGACAGAGTATAGCTGGCTGTGGGGGAATGAGGGTGTTCAGCTTGGCGGGGGGTGAATATTGAATTCATAACTCAGAAGGAAATTTATCAGAGGTGAGCCAGTGACCCTGTTGATTCTAGGGTTCTGATGTGGGACTGGTAAAATTGTTCTTGAAACCAGTGGAAAGGTGACTGTGAAACATTTTATCACTGTTGCTATAAAAGAAGAGGTAGAGAGGCAGATCATATAGTTCTTTGAATAATATCTCTGCTTCATGACTTCTTGCCTTTCCATTTAATTAAAAAAGGAAATACATGATTTCCCTTTCATCTAAATTTATCAGCAGCAGAATGCCTTGGCTAAATGGGGGAAATGCAGAGCTATATATTTTTGTTTTCACTGTGAGAGATGTTGGGGAGAATCTGCTCTGTTAAGAACCTGATTAGTCAGGAGTAAAGTGTACAGAATGTTCGGTATGCGATGAACCGAATATAGATAAATATGAGGGTGTTTAGGTTATCATTGTTCTTCATGGAAGATCTCAGTGACTGCTCACCTTACCAAGGGAAAGGAGAATTGCTAAGGTGGCTTACCCTTATGAGAAGGTTCTGGAGGGGCAGCAGTGATTAGAAGCCAGTGAATGATAACCCCCTACTGGAAAAGCTTGGGGAATACATGAGGATAAGAACAGTGAACACTTAAACCAACAAATCCGGCAGGAAGACCTCTTAGTTTCTCTAGAAGGGAAATCTTACCCCTAAAGGATAAATAAGCATGTGGATGATGTAGAAGCAGGGGATTTTTAAGGGCCTCAGTTGGAGGGGAGTTTTGTATCCAATGCATGCAATTCCCATTTTATTATGTATCCCATTTAATCTCATTTTCTTTCTTTTTTTTTTTAAGATTTTATTTATTTGACAGAGAGAGAGAGAGCGAGAGCAGGAACACAAGCAGGGGGAGTGGGAGAGGGAGAAGCAGGCTTCCCGCGGAGCAGGGAGCCCGATGTGGGACTCGATCCCAGGACCCTGGGATCATGACCTGAGCTGAAGGCAGACGCTTAACGACTGAGCCACCCAGGCGCCCTTAATCTCATTTTCTGTTCACAGTTCTCTTGCTCCCACAGGTGGCCTGTTTCCCATATTGCTATGTATTCATACGTTTCCTTGTACTCTATCTAGTCTGTGTATTTTTAATTTATGTAAATAGTATCTTGGTAAGTTGACGATTTCTGACCCTTTCGCTCAGCATTCCATCGTTATCGTATAGCAGTGCAAGTGTTCCCCACCAGTATCCACCACATTTTACTTGGCCATTTCCCAACATTGTCTCCAACGTGCCACTCCTACAAACATCCTCTTCGGTGTTACTGACGGATCAATCTGAGATTTTGTTTGGGAAATACACCTGGGATTGAGATTGCTGGGTTTTCTGCATACTTAATTTTTACCAAGTTCTGCTAGGCTGCTCTCCAGAATGGCTCTGTCCAGCAAGCATCCTGGTGGGTTCAGGTTTTCTTTGGCATTATCCAGTTTTCTAATTATTGTCCATCTACTGGGTGCAAATGCGTATCATCTTGTTTTAATTCACATCTTCACTCATGAGTTTGAGCATCTCTTCATATAGTTGCTGGGTATTATTTTCTTCTTCCTTGACTATTCGTATCTTTGTAGGGGTTCCTTGTGCATTATAGCTGTTAGTCCCTTTGAGTTTTAGACATTGCAAAATCTTCCCCCAATCCATAATCTGTTTATTATTTTTGTTTATGGTAACTTTCATTTCATAGGAATCCTTAGTTTTTATGGAATCAAATTCATCTTTTTTTTTTTAATATTATAGTTGGGCTTTTTGAGACTTAATTCTTTCTCTATTCTAAGTAATGAAGATATACTATATTTTATTTTTCCTTTTTCATGGGAATATAGTTTTATGGTATGTTATGATATTTAGTGGGTCAAATAACCTCTTTCTACTTTTTCAAAGTTAACTTAGCCTTTTCTGGACTTTTAGTCTTCCACATAAATTATAGAATATGTTTGTCAAATTTCTAATAAAAAATCAGATGTTTTGTTTAGAGTTTAAAAAAAAAAGCTTTGATTTCTTGCATATATGATGACTCCTTTCACAAGATCTCAGAACTTGTATATGTAGGGGCGAGGTTGTTTTATGGTAAATACTAAACTGTCTTAAAGACCAAAAATAGTTTATATTTCTGGATTGAGAAGTGAATACCATAGGGACCCCATGGGAAAGTGCTTAGATTTTTTATGAAAATGGGAGGAGGAATAGAGGCATGCTTTTCACCCTCAGACCTGCAGTGGGTACAGACAGACCTGCAGTGGGTACAGACGTGCGAATCTTCCCTAAGTGCAGAGAGAAGGAAAGTAGCGTAAGCCAAGCTGTAAGAGGATTATGAGGTGGAGGGTGGGGTGAATTTTGGAGCTCCCAATAGAAGACTTCTTTGAATGGGATTAGGTAGAATCTCCTACAGAGGGAGAAGGATTTGGAGCTAAAAGAGAGCAGGTCTGGGACAGTAGATGTGGGCTGTGTTGAGGGTAGCCAAGAAAAGCTGACCAAGGAGGAGGCTCCATGTTAGGAATTTTCAGGGACTCCAATCACCATAGTTTCTGTGGCTTTCCAGTAGTTCTTAGAAACCTTTTCCACACATCTTTTCCCCCTGGTTTTGAAAGTCAGATTTTTCACTTTCTTTGAAGCAGGTGTGAAGAAAAGCCTGCAGGATGAGATTGAAGCCATTCTGCGGGAGAGGATCATGGTGCTGGATGGAGGGATGGGGACCATGATCCAGCGACATAAGCTAAGTGAAGAAGACTTCCGAGGTCACGAATTTCAAGATCACGCCAGGCCGCTGAAAGGCAACAATGACATTTTAAGTATAACGCAACCCAATGTCATTTACCAAATCCATAAGGTATAGTATCCGCCGTGTCTCCTGTTCTCAGTCCATTATCCTATAAGCCGCTCCGCATATTGAAGGCTCTAGAAGGTACAGAAGAAAGGGGTGATTTGTTCACAAAGAAGGCGTTGGGCACAAGATAAAGGTCTTGCACTGTGATGAGCATTCAGGATAAGGAGATGAGAAAGGTAGTTTGTCTGCCTTCGAGACAGTTAAACTCCAGTGAAAGACCATAAAAATCTTGGGCAAATTGGGCTTTTCACATACACTACTTTACCTAAGTCACCACAACAGTCCCGATAAAAACCAAAAGGTGGTGGTTATTCTCATTTTGAAGATTTGGAAGTTGAGGCTCCCAGAGCCTAATGTTAGGGAGACTTCCTCACTTGAAATCCTACGTTCTTTCATTCCATTTTTCTGTCTCCAATAAAAACGGTTAGCCGGCATAAAGAAATGAGGAACTGGGGGCGGTAGGTTTTTAAAATTTAGAAATAAACACAGAACGAAATTGTTTGATAGGTTATCATCATAATTTCATAGAATTAAAACCAGAAGAGATATTGAGGTGATTGAATCTGTTTTCCTGGTCTGGATTCAGTTAGGACAAAGTGTATTTACCAGTGAAGTGAGAAAGTTTTATTTTCTGGAGAAGGGCATTGCTGTAGGTGTGTTCAGGCTCTTCTTAAGGAAAAAAAAAAAGTCATTTAAACAAATCACTTTGTGATTAAATGATCCATCGGGAATGGAAGGGATCATTCTCTTGCGTGGTCAAGACTTTGTTTTAGGTTACATGCAGAATGGCGTTCATTTGAAGAAAAGCTAAGAATGCCTTTCCTTTGCTCATAATGGGAATTCTAGGTCCTAGAAGATTGAAAATTGGTCTTGAAAAGGTGTGGTTCTGCCAGAAGAATGGTAACTGTTTCTGCTAGGCCTTGAGAATATGTAGTTAAATCCTATTATAAAATCCTAGTCGATTGGGAATGTCATCATGGGTATGAATTGCTTGGTATGGTTACAAATACGCTTTTTTTATTAAAAAAAAATTATTTATTAGAGAGAGCACAAACAGGGAGTGGCAGGCAGAGGCAGAGGGAGAGGGAGAAGCAGAAGCAGGCTCCCCGATGAGCAAGGAGCCTGACAGAGGGCTTGATCCGAGGACCCTGGGATCATGACCTGGGCCGTAGGCAGATGCTTAATGACTGAGCCACCCGGGTGCCTCCCATATAGGAGGCACTCAATAGAGGAAAGAATCCTTGCCCTGTGTATTAGGTAGGCATCTAGGTGGAACAATGAGGTTCCCATGATAGGTACATGAAACAAAAATGGCTGTAAATACAATAAAGTATACCTGGGTGACCCATTTCTGGGGGCGCATTTACTAGCTGGAGATATGGAGAGCATGTCGTGTTCATGGATGAAGAAGGTAAACAGACTGTGTTTTTTTCACACGTGGCTATTTCTAGTGGAGCTAGTGACCACAGATCAGATCCCCTGGTGTTTAATTTTAATGGAATGTCCAAGTTATATTTGTAATGTAGGTGCCTGACAGTAAGCTGCTTTGGTGGTAATGTAAATGCCTGACATCAGGCTTTGGGTTGCCAAGATATCCATTTCAGAGACATCTCTCTTGTATTAAACATGACGCTGCTACTCGCTGAACAACTAGATAGCAGGCTGCTCCCACCCATGAGTTCCACTCTTGGAGAGACCTGGATGACCCAGACAACTGACTGTTCTCATTTTTCCCTTTCCACACCCTGATCCCCACTCTTCCGTTTTAAATTCAGTAAAGAGTGAAACTGTGAAACCCTAGGTGCCCCATCCTTGTACCCCCCAAGAAGGCAGAACCCCATGTCTGTGCTCAGCACCCCCACTGCCCATCTGCCCCTCGCCCTTTGAAGCATGGCCCTGGGCATACCTGTACCCTCCAGGACTTGTGAGTAATACACCTTTTTCTCCCAAAAGTTCCCATGGTTGTTGCTGACATACCACAAGGGCTGGTGTCGCCACACCTTGGGCTCTGCCCAGGGAAACGTGTGTGGGAGCTGTCCGCAGGGAGTGTGGGTGAGCACCTCAGGCATTGCTAGCCCATAGCGGCTCTCTCAGGAGACAGAAGTCAGAGCCTCTGTTAGCATATACAAATGCTGTCCTTCACATCCTCCTTGACTCCTGACAGCGTTCTCCATGAGAGAAGTGAGGAGTAGAGAAATTCAGTAGCGTGCCTCAGATCACACGTTTTTTAAACTGGCAGGAATAGGTTTGGAAATTGGCAAGAATAGGTTTGGAATAGGTTTGGGATAGAGGGACGTCCTGCCTGGAGTCCACAAGTGAGGATATTGAGCCAGGAGAACAGGCACAGAGAGAGGATGAAGAGCTAGAAGAAATCCCTACATACTTACCTGTAGAAAACTATACAGTATGGAAATTTTCAAATCTACACAAAATTGGAGAAAACTGTGAACTTAGAAATTTTTTTCCCTAATTTTAAGACAATACGTGTTTATTGCTTAAAAAAAAAGTAGATAATAAAAGAGGGATGCCTGGGTGGCTCAGATGGTTAAACATCTGCCTTCGGCTCAAGTCATGATCTCAGTGTCCTGGGATCAAGCCCCACATCGGGCTCCCTGCTGAGCGGGGAGCCTGCTTCTCCCTCTCCCTCTGCCCTGCTGCTCCCCCTGCTTGTGCTCTCTCTATCTCTCTGACAAATAAATAAATAAAATCTTAACAAAAAAAAAAGAAAATCATAAAAGAGAAAATCAAAACCAGGACATATCAATACCAAGACATAACTACTATCCATTCACATATTTTAACTTACATTTTAATCTAGTATTTATACTGGGATTTTAAAAATTAAATTTTAATTATATTCCTTTGTACTGTTTTATAATTTGCATTTTTATCTGTATACATGAGTATTAAATATTCTGAAACATGGTTTAATAACTTCATAATGTATTCTATGTATATATTATTAATTACTTAACTAATTCACTTATTCCTAAGCATTAATGTTTCCAGTTTTTCTTGTTTTTTTTTAATTTAATTTGCTGTCATAAAACAAAACCCATAGATGAGAATAAATTCACTTTTGACCACTACTCCAAATTTCTATTTTTTCTCCTGAGATAACCATTTACATTAATTGCTGTATGTCTTTCCAGATTTCTTTGTTACGCATTTACATATATATGCGTACATATATATGCGTACATATATATGTACATATGTATATGTGTATACATACTTACCTGTAGAAAACTCATACTGTTGTATACATGTATGCTTTACACTTAATGGTGTCCCATTTTACATATCAATCAATTTTGGTTTCTACTCAATATTTTTGGAGATCTTTCCATGTCAGTATATGTAGCTATACACAATGTTTTTAACTGCCACAAAGCATGTTATAAAATGGATACATTCTAGCTTATTTAGTTTTTTCCAGTGGTGGATGTTTAGGATGTTTGTGACTTATTATAAATATGTGTAAATCTTGGTTTTCATTTCCCAGCTATTTTGTAAACAGGTGTTCATCAGTTGGGGAGGGGTTGGGTTTAGTCACTATTGGAAAATCAAGAGAGTTGAGGGATTCCAGAGTGTTCATCGCATTGAGGTTGTGGAGGTGTCGTCCAAAGAGCGAAATGAGGAAGATGGGTTTCGAACAGGGAGGATAGGAAGGCACCGAGATCCTCAGGGTTCTAGAAGGTGTGCCGATCTGGCTCAGAGGGACCCGCAGAGAGAGAGACTGAAACGATTACGGGCAAGACTGGGCTCTCAGACGTAGAGCCGTTGCCAGTGGGGATCAAACTGTGCTGAGGCTGGAGAGCGCCATCCTGGGTCAGAACCTGTGTCATCACACAGCCATGCCATGGAGCTGGGTTCTAGTACTTTCCATGAGAAACTGGAACTCAGGGTTTAAGGAACTTGATTCCATTCACCCAGCTTAGCATGTGAACTGTGTCTGAATTCAAGCTCTGCGTTTGTTTATTTATACCACATTCCTCTCTCTGAAAGCCTTGTATCATTTTGCATCTCTGGCCTCTAGTGCAGGGCCTGCGCTTAGGGAGCAGTCACAATGTGTTTGGTGGGGATGAACAGATGTGTTTATTGCTGGGCGACAGGGGCTTTGAAACTCCGAGCACTGACATTGCTATCTCGTTGCAGGATTACTTGCTGGCTGGGGCAGATATCATCGAAACAAACACTTTTAGCAGCACTCACATTGCCCAAGCAGACTATGGCCTTGAACACTTGGTAAGAATGCCCTTGTTCTCAAACTAAGATGTTTCTGGGCATTTACTGCCTTGATAGTTGCTGGTGAGAAAACCATCAGCCGCTGCAGCGTCAAGCTGATGCCTATGGTCAGACTGGGAAAGCGCTTTGAATCTCTCTGCTTATGAACACAGCAGACCATTCATTTCTAACTGATTTCTTTTATGGGCAAGTAATCAGGTAAAAATGATACTTATTAAGCAGTGGCTGCTGATAAAGGCGCAATGATCAGCTGTGTGTGCACCCTTTTTATGACCTGGGTGGCAGGTTTTTTTTTTTTTAATTGTGGCAAAACACGTGCAACATAAAATTGACCATCTTAGCCATTTTTAAGTGTATGGTTCAGTGGGATTAAATATATTCATGTTGCTATGCAGCCAGCACCACCATCCATCTCCAGAACTCTTGTCATCTTGTAAAACTGAAGCTCTGTACCCATTACATTCAGTAACCCCTGTCCTCCCCTCACCCCCCTGGGCCCCAGAAACCACCCCTGTACTTTCTTTCTCTATGAATTTGACTCCTCTAGGTACCCCACGTAAATGGACTCGTACAGTTTTTGTCCTTTTATGACTCTTAGCTTAATGTTTTCAAAGTTCACTCATGTTGTAGCAAGTGTCAGAATTTCCTTTTTAAGGCTGCATAATGCTCCCCTGTATGTATGTGTGTGTGTGTGTGTGTGTGTATTACATTTTGTTTATCCATTCGTTTGTTAGGGACACTTGGGTTGATTCCACCTTTTGGTGATTGTGAACAGTGTGGCTGTGAATATGGGTGTACAGAAAATGTTTGCATCCCTGCTTTCATTTCCTTTGAATATATACTCAGAAGTGGTAATTCTGTTGCCTTTTTTGAGAAACCACCATACTGTTTTCCACATTGGCTGCACCATTTTATATTCCCACCAGCAGTATGCAAGGATTCCAAGTTTTGTACGGCTTTATTGACACTTGTTATCTTCTGTTTTTTCATTTTGTTTTTGTTTTTTTTTTTGATAGTAGCCATCCTAGTGGGTGTGGGGTGAAGGATCTGGTTTCTTTTTAATCAATATGATGCTCCTTTTTCAAATTTTGTAAAATGTGGATGATGGGAGTACATAGTAGATGCTGCCGTACCCACGTCTGTGTGGGATTTTTCCAGACGCATGCCTCTGTTTTCATGCAACACTGATTTCTCTCATGATGTTGGGACTTTGTGAGATCTCGCGTCTTTTGGGTTATCAAGGGAAAATGATTAGTTTTGTGTGATTTAGGGCAGGAGTTGGCAAACTTTTTCTGTAAAGGGCCAGATAAGTGAATATTTTAGGCTTTGTGGGCCATATACAGCAACCACTCAACTCTGTTATTATAGTGCAAGAGCAACAGTAAACAATATGCAAACGAATGAGCTTGATTGTATCCCAGTAAAACTTTATTTATAAAACTGGCCTAGGCTAGATTTGCCCTGGGACCTATAGAGTTTGCCAACCCCTATTTTAGGATATTCTGGTTTCTTAATTACCACGGTGCATAGGATCTGAGAAGGGCTCATGAAGACCACAAGTCTAGCACCTTCTAATCTGTTCTGGGAAAGGGTTTCAGGAGGCCTATGGACCTCTTTAAATTGTAGGCATTATTTTGTGTGTATGTGCATACTTTTTATTTCCTAGTGAGGGGGTTCATGGCCCTTTACCAAATTCTAAAGAGGCTAATAATCTGCGAAAAGTTCGGAACCCCTGAGTACAACCACTGTACAGAGAAGGAAGTCAGGGCCTGGAGAAGTGGCTAAGGGAACTGCCCAGGCAGGCCCTGAGAGAGCTGGTCTTCGAACCCCCGTCTCCTGTCTCTGAAGCCTGTGCTTTTTCCATTCCTGTGCTTTCTGTGATTCGCAGAGGATTTAACTGCATCAGCTTACTCTTTGACATACCAGATGTCCAAGAGATTGCCCTTTTTCTAATAGTTAGCTCATGGCTAAGGGGAAGAAGCTCAGAGTGGTTCTCAAGGACTCTTGGCTCTCCTGCTTCCTTCTTGGCTAAGATTTCGCTCAGACCTCCTATTAATTCACTCGACATTTCCTTACTGAATAAAACTGGGTTTTATAAGGTCACGAATCCCTAATTTATTGGGTGGAGGGAGAGAAGTGCTAGCTAATGTTTGTGTTGATGTGTAGGCCTACCAGATGAACAAGTGCTCTGCGGGGGTGGCCAGAAAGGCAGCCGAGGAGGTGTCTCTCCAGACAGGTAAGGCACGGCTGCAAGGATGGCTCCTTTGAGAGTCGCAGCTGTCATGCGCTGTCGTCATTGCGCTTTTCCCTTCCATGACAAGTGGCCCACCAGCAACACTTCAGATGCTGTTTCGTACCTGTGGGTAGGTGACTTCTTTGCAGTTTCATAATCAAGCCCTCCCCGGTCTCTCTGAATTGATTCTGTCACCCTGGGTTTTGGGCTCGGGGTTTCCTCTACTGCGGGTTCCAGCTTCACTTTGTAGCTATAGCTACTTTTTCTTTTCATAGTTAGAGCTTCTTCGCATGTTTACAGCGAAGGTGATTTTTCTCCTTTTGGAAGCACATTCAGGTGACAGTTGCCTGCTCTAGTTTTGTCGGTTAACATTAAGATATTTGATGTTCTCAAATATCTTTGAAGCTACCATCGTCCTTGTGATTGGCTTCTGTAGGTGAAGAGCCATTGCCTTTTGAGCATGTTCTGTGTCCTATCCCTCATGTCCTTGAAGGCTCTGTGCAGCACACACAGGAGTGTGGCATGAGACTCAGCCTTGCTGGAACATGAAAAGCGGCCTCTTGAAATAACTACCCTCCTGGCTGGCTGCCATAACATGACTTGGGCGCCAGCTGGTGGGGAGGCTCTGAGGGAGGGAAAGGAATAGGAGAAATATATGGAGCCCCTTAAGATTTGGAAATGTAAAATTATTGCCAACAGGGGAAAATATAAAGCAAAATTGCTAGGAAGTGAGGCACAGCATACTAATGAAGAAAGACCGAAGCAATTTATGGGAACTCTGCCTCTGGGAGATAGTGTTTAAATCCACGGATGTGCATAGACTGTTACCCCAACAGAGTCGCGGGTCAGAGAATGTGAAACCAGCGAAAGCAGGGAAAGATAAGGACATTTTTCTTATACGCACATTATTGTTCAGCTTGGGGCAAGGTAACCTGTTCAAAGGCTGGGTTATCAACTCGTTGGTAATCTTCACCACTTAAGTTGTAAAGCGTAACCCAGGTTACTGAGTGGTTACCATCACCAAAGGTGATGAGCCGTGTACCCCCGGCTTCAGTTATGACATGTAGATGAACCTAACTTTTGAGGCTCTTTTAGAAGCACCTGGACTCTAGCCCGGAGGAAAGGTTATTAAAGAATTATTAAAAGAGTGCTTACAGTAAGATTTGACCAGCTTCATATTTTAATTTTAGGCTTTATAATTGTTAATCCTGATCTAATAGTCTCCCCGCCAGTGAAGGGCCTGCAGCCCGATACTGGAGAGCATTTCAAGTTGAACACTACTGTGAGGAGCTTTTGTAGAATCTGTGTTAGGTTCAGGACCTTCAAGATTCCTTAAGAGTAAGGGGAGGTAATTTATCCAAACATGGCTGTGGAGATAAAAAAGAGTTACTGAAACGCTTTGAAGCCCGATAGGCGAGAATTCAGAGTCTTTGGGATTGGCTTGGCAATCAGCTGTACACATCCCTGTATTTCATAATTTTCCCGGTGGGGTCCAGGATAGCTCCTATCCTCGGATACACATTTGCAGTCAAATCTGTGCATTGTCTCACTGAGTGTGATAAAGACTTTAAAGAGCCTCTTGTTGGTCCAGGAGAAGTCGTTTTCTTGTCAAATGAATTAAGAAAATAATCTGTGCTCTTGTATTTCCGAGTTGTGGATAAAGGATTATAGACCTATGTTCTAGGGGAAAATCTTATAGCCTATTGAGTCACAACAAAAAGGTCAAGCTCTTTAGAGATTTTTACATTTGTTTTTCTTTTCCCAAAGGAATTAAGAGGTTTGTGGCAGGAGCTCTGGGTCCAACTAATAAGACACTGTCTGTGTCCCCGTCTGTGGAGAGACCAGATTACAGGAACATTAGTGAGTATTGTAAATAATCTTTGACCTCCTGCAAGTACGTCTGTGTTTCAGTGATCTTAAAATCTGTAAAATGGGACCAATAATAGGCTCTTCCTCAGGGTTATTGTGACTTAATGGACATAAAGGGCTTATAATGGTCCCTGGAATGTAGTAAACATCTAAATAAAAAGATGTTGTTATTATTACTACTTTTATTATTTCAAATGTACATGGTATTGTGATCATGCTTCTTTATCACCTGAGGAAAGGAAACTAATCAAGAGAAAGCTTTAAACTGAGAAGTTGAGCAAATATGGACACTAGGCCTTGGTCTATTATGGGATAACCCACTGGGCCCCCATTTTATGTCAGAAATCACTCCAAACTATATAAACATACTAGCATTGTTGACATTATAAACTAACGTATAGAAACATACTTACATTGAGATTTCATGAAAAAAATCTAGATATCTAGATCAATTTCTTTTTTTTTTCTTTTTTTTTTTTTAAAGATTTTATTTATTTATTTGAGAGAGAGAGAGAGCATGAGAAGGGGGAGGGTCAGAGGGAGAAGCAGACTCCCTGCCGAGCAGGGAGCCCGATGCGGGACTCGATCCCGGGACTCCAGGATCATGACCTGAGCCGAAGGCAGTCGCCTAACCAACTGAGCCACCCAGGTGCCCTCTAGATCAATTTCTTAAGCATCAAGACAATGAAATACAAAAAGAATTAAACTTAGCTGAATAGTACTGATACTTTGTATGGTGAAGAATTTTGTGTAGATGACAAGTTCAGGCAAGTATGGTTTGTAGGTTTTTGGTTATAGAACTTTCCATGTGGTGATATCATAGCTCTTCACTAGGGGTTGCTCATACTGGGCTTATGCGTGGTCGATGCCCTCTTTGATCCAGGCATGACCACGAGGGGCTAAGTTTTCCTTTCTCTTGTGCTATATACAGCAAGCATAAAGGTACTACTTGGGTTTTCCTATTGAATATCCAAGTCTTTGTCTTTTTTTCATTGGGAGGTAAATGGGGAGAGGGATGACCTCTCAAATGGAAATGGACAACTCAAGATGTTTCTAACAAAAATTGTACCCAGGAATGATTGAACACTTTGGTTTCAGACTGAAATTGCCCTTCAGGGCAGGTTTTCTTTCAGGCAGGAGTGAAGTCCACAGGACTGAAGCCTTTTACCACAGCCAGTGTGAGAGAATGTGACTAGACCTGCCATCTTTCCAAGTCAGGGTGATGTGTTTCTCTACTTATTCCTCGCACTCATCCCTTAACTGGACTGATTAAAACCATTCCTAGGAAGAATGATGTACCTTGAAGGTGTTGAAAATAAGGTGCAGGGCTCATTAAACCATGTACCTGCTCACTCACTCATTCTTGGCTCATACGTGGGATGTGGAGGTTGTGTGGTAAGTGTTTAGGAGTGACTGTGTTCAGTCTACAGGTTTCATTAACATCAATGCTCCATTTCTTTATTTGGTTTCTCACAAAAGGTGATGTCCTTAAATTAAGCATTAGAAACCAGCAATAGTTAGCTGACAGGTGCCAGGCCTGAACATAGCATGTCCTGATCATTGAGAGGATATTTATGACTGGATGTGATTTATTTTTTGCAGCATTTGATGAGCTCGTTGAAGCATACAAAGAGCAGGCCAAAGGGCTTCTGGATGGTGGGGTTGATATCTTACTCATTGAAACTATTTTTGATACTGCTAATGCCAAGGTGAGTTAAGGGAGATGAAAGGGACAGCTGGGGTGGGGGCTGTGATGAGTCCCCCAGTGGGGCGAGAAGCCATTGTCAAAGTTAAATAAAAGTCTTCTGTTCCATTCTATTTTTGAGCATTTCTAGTTGAGGCCAGTGGGATGAGAAAAACCTCAAAAGATTATCTTTTTAACTTTCAAAAGCATTTTTTTTAAATTATGAAAGTAAATACACATATAGCTATTAATTAGGTGCACATATGCAGATGTAGTAAATATATATACATGGTTCTAAATTTAAAATGTACATAAATGTGTGGAGTGAAAACTAAATATCCTTCCTTCTCCTATTCCCTGGGCATCAACGTCTTTCCTGGGTCAGCTATTACCGGCGTGGGGGTCCTGATAGAGATGCTACGCAGGTAGAGGAAAGTGTGACATTACATTCTTTCGATTATTGAGGGACAGGTTGTCCCCATGACGCGTCAAATTTAGTTTGGAGTGAGGAATGTGGTAGAGATCTAACTAGGTACTCTTTTTCTCTAAGGTTTACCTAGTTTTCTTAACACCATCTATTAAATATCCTACCATTTCCTAGTGATAGGAATCGTGTACCACCCTAAATTCAGAAGTGCATCTGGGTAGAATCTATTCCAGTCATCTGTCTGATGTCACACTCCTATCCTGCTATTTTCCGTACCATTGCGATTAAAATACCTCTTGAATAACTGGTAGGCTTTCATTAACTTCCCTCACCCTCGGTTTTTCCCCCAGAATTTTCCTGGTTATTCTTCCTCATTTACTTTTCCATAAGATCTTTAGGATCACCTTGGCTAGTTCTTAAAACAAAACAACAACAACAACTCATATTGTTGATTTAATACCTTTCTATGCGAAAGAAACCCACCATCCCCATGAAAGGAATACATTATAGACAGGTTGCATTCTGACTTCAGCAAATGATGAAAATGTGCACGTCTTGGAATCAGGAAGTACAGTGATCAAAAGAGGGAGAAGATGTTCCCTGGAACTTAATGCATCATGGACATGCACTGAGTTACTTAGCATTAGTACCTACACAGCCCATTCTGAGCTCACGCTAATTTGCACGGGGACAGCGTGTGCTGTTCATTTCTGTACCTCCCGTGTATCTGTGAGGATGTGGATGGTGGAGGCATTCTTATTCATCTATTTTTGATTTTGACTGGGAGAAGGAAGAAAGAGCATAGCTCTTGAGCTCCTCTTTGGAGAAAATATTAGTTTGTAGGTAAACTCTGAGCCAGCATCTGTTCTGTTTCAGTAGGTGCTGTGTTCTCCTCGAGAAAGGGGTATCAGTATCGTACCTTACAGAGAGGATGCGTGTCTGTCCCAGAGTGTGCAATGTTGATCACATCTAGAGAGGTTTTGGAAAAGGGAGCATTCTCATCAGCCAGTTAGACTGACCGGGGACACAGTCTCTGAGAAATAAAGATGTTCTTTTTCCCACTGACAGGCTGCCTTGTTTGCACTCCAAACACTTTTTGAAGAGGAGTATCGCCCCCGGCCTATCTTTGTAAGTTCTAAAATTTGCATGATGATTTTTGTCTTTTATTATTAATACTGTCAACTCGAGGGTAGGGTTTTTGTTTTCCTGGCATAGGAGAACTAGCTGCAGTATCTTTAAGGAACCACCCACTTCAGCTTCCTCTGTTCACCTTCCTCCTACTGGCAGCTGTAAACCAGTAGCTGTCTCAGCTCTGGAAATGCAAAGAAGGTGAACCCAGAAGTGGCTGGTGGAAGGCAGGCTATTCGAAAGAAGCCTGGCTGAATTGGTCCCCTGAAGTCAAAGGCTTCGGGACTCCCTCTGATAGGGGCCCCAGGAGAGGCGGGCTTGCTTGCTGACTGAAGTTCCCAGATTGGATGACACCAGCCTGCAAGTAGACAGACCCCCGGGAGAGTCCCAAGATTGCTTGGTGGGAAAAGACTAGAATCAAATCAAGGGGTGTTAGACGAACCAGGGGAAATAGCCAGGACAGCCTGAGGTCTCTGGTAAAGCCTTCTGCGATGGGACTGGATGTGTGAATTCTAAAGCTTTGTTGGTCATTGCTTTTGCCTCAGTGACTTTCCCTGTTTTCTGTGTTTATGGCTTCCTGACTCCTCCCCACAATCCCTTTGCCCGTGTCCTTTCTGACCATGATGAAAAGTGCTTTCTGTGGGAGAGTTCCACACTCCCCTTCCTCGTAAAAGAACAGTTTTCTGTTTTTATTTCATCTTTGTGTCCGTGTTCTTAATTTGAGCCTCTGTTGTTGACTGAGTTTACTTTGTTAATTCAGATTTCAGGGACAATTATTGATAAAAGTGGGCGAACTCTTTCCGGACAGACAGGAGAGGCATTTGTCATCAGTGTGTCTCACGCAGACCCGCTCTGGTAAGTGATCATTCTTTCCTTGACCCCATTCCTTTTAGAGGGATCTTTTCTCATGGCAACAAAAATCACTCCTGCATATTTCCACTGAACCACCCGCATGGGATGTTGGATTTCTGGGAAGTACATTCAGACTTTTCTTAAGGGTGTCAGAAGACCCCTGCCTGAATGAGTCAGTTTGAGGGGCTGGGCAAGTGCTCCTGCCCCTTGGATCAGGCACACGTTTGGCTGTTTGTAAGTGCGCCCCTCACAATTTAAGGCTGTGCTTGGTTCAGTCGTAATGCTGCAAAAACAGTGCTTACGTTCCTAGGGCAGGGCTTTGCAAAGTGTTTTATCTCCATGCTTATGGAGCAAACAGAAGCAGTCCAGCTTGGAATAAGGTGGGAATTCTAAAGCTCAGATTTTTATCTTTAAAATTAACCTGGCTTTGGGGCGCCTGGGTGGCACAGTCAGTTAAGTGTCCGACTCTTGGTTTCTGCTCAAGTCCTGATCTCAGGGTCCTGGAATCAAGCCCCGCGTCAGGCTCCACACTCAGCAGGGAGTCTGCTTGAGATTCTCGCTTTCCCTCCCGTTCATGCTCTCTCTTTAAAATAAATAAATCTTAAAAAAAAAATTCACTTGGCTTTTACATTCTATTTTTCTTGTCAGAAATGTTTTAAATTACATACCATGAATGAAACAGAACCTCCAAGAGTATACACTGTTGTCATCTGTGCCTTTTCCACACATGTACTGATCTTCCTGCCTGAAAGCTGTGCCTGCCTCCCCCACCCCCCCAACACACACACACACACACACACACGGAGTCATGCTCTGCCGGATCCTGGCTCCTTCCTTCCTGGAAGCTGTGCCTGTCCCTGCCCAACACACTCACACTCACACACACACACACACACACACACAGTCATACTCTGCCGGCTCCTTCCTGGAAGCTGTGCCTGTCCCCGCCCAGCACACACACACAGACACACACACACCTTGTTAGCTTTTAAGAATCCTCTCCAGGGTCTTTTCCAGGGAACTCTCCCTCTCTGACTAGCCCAGGTTGATGTCCTCAGAGCACTCTGTTTACTTTATTATAGTCTTTGCCATAAAAATAATAGTAATAGGCATTTATTGAGAGTTTGCTGATTTAAGTGGTTTATGTGACTGAGTTCTTTTAATTCCAGCAACAACACCTTGAGCTGGGCCCTGCTGTTCATGTCCTCATTTTGATGAGAAGGGGACAGAGATGCTCGGAGGTTGTGACTTGCCCAGCGTGCAGTCAGTAGTGGGTCTAGCATAGGGGCATGCTCACAGCCATGGGCTCTACCACTCTTTATCAGTTATTTGATATTGGTTTTTTTTCATGTTCTAATGTTTCTAATTTCATGACATGCCTTACAGTTGAGTTAGTGTGGTTGTGTGATTTCTTTTTTTTTTAAAGATTTTATTTATTTATTTGACAGAGAGAGACACAGCGAGAGAGGGAACACAAGCAGGGGGAGTGGGAGAGGGAGAAGCAGGCTTCCCGCCGAGCAGGGAGCCCCATGTGGGGCTCGATCCCAGGACCCTGGGATCATGACCTGAGCCGAAGGCAGATGCTTAACGACTGAGCCACCCAGGTGCCCCGGTTGTGTGATTTCTTAAAAGCTGCTGTTAATTTAGAGTGCATTGTTATCCAGTTGACTGGGCCTGATAATTAAGAAAGTAACTGTATTGAACTGGACTGTGATTGACCCCTTAACAGCTTATGAGCTTTTCCAAAGCAATCTCTTCATCATCTTTATGTCTCTAGTGCTTAACAGAGTCCTTGGCATGTAGGATGGCTACAGTAAATGTTTAACAGGAAAACTGGGGATAGGAAAATGTAGGGGTCTCTGAGGACAAACCTTATCTAGTTTACTTTCGATTTTTTTTGTCTTTCCTCATATATTTTGAGCATTCCTCCTTTTATTCTCTTGCTCTCTTCCCCACCCCCTTTACTGAGTCTTAATTCGTGATCTGGTTGGAACCCCTAGATGTGTAGATGAAACCCCCTGCATTGCCCCAAGTATCATGTTGCTCTTTAGTCTGCTTGACTGTTCCCAGAGGACATCCTTAGAGGATGTTCTCCCACTCCCTGCCTCACCGGCGGGAATCCAAGGATGATATTTTAATGGAGTTTCAAAAATTTATATTTCTGTTCCTTAAGCAAACATGCAATGAATTCTAACTTTTGACCCACTCAGTGGTTTCATTTTTTTTTTTTTATTATTGTTATCCTGTAATTCTTTATGTGTCTTCAACATTCATCTGTAGGCCATTCACAGAGAGAATATATTTGGTCTCTGATTTGTTAGGAATCTTACAGACCGAAGGGGCAGATAGGTGGATGGAAGGCAGCCCAGGAATTGGAGAATTGTATCAGGTCCTATTTATATTGTTCCAGGTTCAGAACTCTGAGTAGTGCCTACTGGTTTTCTTTCTAGTTCAGTACTAAGGGTCGATCTCAGTATAGAGGAGTCCTGTTAACAAATATATGATAATTTTAAAATAATGTGTATATGCACATTATTGTGTATATGTGTATATGTGTATAATGTGTATATGTAAACAGTATGTAACAAAGTGTGTAAGAAACTATCGCTTACTGATTTGTGATTCTCGCAAACTGTACATATGTTCACAAAGTACAATGGGACAGAGCTTTTATATTATTATTATTATTATTATTATTATTATTATTATTAATTCATTGAACATTAATTGAAATCCTACTCTGTGCCTTGGAATACAGGCAAATGTGAAATAGTCCACACTAGGAGAAATACATAAGTAAATTAAAATATAAAATATCAACTGCTGTACAGAAGTATGAACACAAATCTGGCCGGACAGAGGACGGATTAATGGTGTCCTTGCGAGATTCAAGGATGGCTTTGTCGAGAAGGTGACACTTGAGCTGGTTTTTGAAGCATGAGCCAGAGTTCGCTAGGCAGAGGCAGATGGATGTGTCAGAATGAGCAAAGAGCAGGAGAAGGACTGCATTTTTCTGAAACGTTTTCGTATTACTGATGTTACTTTCACTTGACCCTCACTGCTGTTTGGGCATTGTTTTCTCATGCCGCAAATGAGGACGTGAAGCCACCTTACTATTGAACCAGATGAGTTAGGATCAGACCGAAGTTTAGAAAAAGTCTAGGATCCTTTCTAATGATAATGTGATGATTTAAAAAAAATTTAGTTTATTACCTGGTGTTGAGTGTGGATGACAGTAGCACAAGATTAAAAAAAAAAAAGAGTAAAAGCATTCCAAATGGAGACTGGTGCAACCGAACAGGTCTATTCAAGGCTTGTAACTTAGCTGTGCAGTCTTTTTTTTTTTCTTTAAATGGAGGTATAACTGCCTTAAAATATTATACTAGTTTCAGGTGTACAACATAGTGGCTTGACATTTGTGTATATTGCAAAATGATTGCTACAATAAATCTAGTTATCGTCTGTCCGCATACAAAGTTAACACTGTATTACTGACTATATTCCCCATGATGTACATGACATCCCAGTGACTTACTCTTTTGTAACTGCCATTTTGTGCTTCTTGATTTGCACCCATATTACCTCCACCCCCAAACTCCCTCCCCTCTGGCAGCTATCGGTCTGTTCTCTGTATCTGTGAGTCTGGGTTTCATTTTGTTTGTTTTGTTTTTTAAATTCTACGTACAAGTCAAATCATGTGATGTTTGTCTCTCTCTGTCTGACTTATTTCACTTAGCATCATACCCTCATTGGCTATTGTAAGTAATGCTGCAATGAACATAGGGATACATGTATTTTTTTTGAATTAGTGTTTTTATTTTCTTTGGATAGATACCCAGTAGTGGAACTGCTGGGTCATATGGTATTTCTGTCTTTAATTTTTTGAGGAACCTTCCTGCTGTTTCCTATAGTGCCTGCACCAGTTTGCATTCCCACCAACAGTGCACAAGGGTTCCCTTTTCTCCACATCCTCCCCAGCATTTGTTGTTTCTTGTCGTTTTGATACCGGCCAATCTGACAGGTATCAGGTGATCTATCATTGGGGTTTGATTTGGATTTCCCTGATGATGAGTGATGTTGAGCATCTTTTCATGGGCCTGTTGAGTATCTTCTTTGGAAAAATATCTATTCAGATCTTCTGTCCATTTCTTAATTGGATTTTTTTGTTATGGAGTTGCATGAGTTCTTAATATATTTGGGATATCAGCCCCTTATCAGATAGATGATTTGCATGTCATCCCTGCGCAGGGGCCCTGCTGATCTTCTCTGTATCATTCTGTTTTTAGTACATGTGCTGCCAAAGCGAGCACCAGATGTATGATTTGCAGATATCTTCTCCTATTCTGTAGGCTGCCTTTTAGTTTTGTTGATTGTTTTCTTTACTGTGCAGAAGCTTTTTAGTTTGATGTGGTCTCAATTGTTTATTTTCGTTTTTGTTTCCCTTGTCTTTGGAATCAGATCCCCCCCCAAAAACATTACTAAGATGGATATCAGGGAGCTTGCTGCCTATGTTTTCTCTCGGGAGTTTTATGGTTTCCGTTCTTACATTCAAGTCTTTACTCCATTTTGAGTTTGTTTCTGTGTCTGGTGTAAGACAGGGATCCAGTTTCACTCTTTTGCATGTGGCTGTCCAATTTTCCCAGCACCATTTATTGAAGAGACTGTCCTTTCCCCAGTGCATATTGTTGCCTCTCCTATTGTAAATTAATTGACTGTATATGCATGGATTTATTTCTGGGCTCTCTTTTCTTCCATTGATCTGTGTGTCTGTTTTTAGGCCAACACCATACTATTTTGATGACTATAGCTTTGTAGTATGGTCTGAAATCCAGGCATGTGATATCTCCAGTTTTCTTTTTTTTCTCAGAATTGTTTTGGCTTTGAGGGTCTTTTGTGGCTCCATATACATTTTAGAATTATTTGTTCTAGTTCTATGAAAAATGCATTGGAATTTTGATATGGATTGTGCTGTAGATTGCTGTAGAATCTGTACATTGCTTTGGGTACTATGGACATTTTCACAGGATTCTTTTATTCCATGAGAATGGTTATCTTTCCATTTCTTTGTGTCATCTTCAGTTTTTTTCATCAGTGTCTTACAGTTTTCAGTATACTGGTTTTTCACCTCTTGGTTAAATTTATTACTAGGTATTTTATTCTTTTTGATGCAATTGTATGGGATTGTATTCTTAATTTCTCTTTCTGATAGTTTGCTATTAGTGTATAGACATGCAATGGATTTTTTTTGTATATGAATTTTGTGTCCTGCAACTTTACTGAATTCATTTATTAGTTCTAGCAATTTTTTTTAGTGGAGTCTTTAGGGTTTTCTATATAGTTCATATTATCTGCAAATAGTGTGTTTTACTTCTTTCTAATTAGAATGCCTTTTATTTCTTTTGGCCTAGTTGCTGTGGCTAGAACTTCTGATACCGTGTTGAATAAAGTGGAGAGAGTGGGCATCCTTTTCTTTTCTGGTTTTAGAAGAAAAGCTTTAGCTTTTCACTGTTGAGTATGATGTTAGCTGTAGGTTTGCCATATATGGTTTTTATAATCTTGAGGTATGTTCCCTCTATACTCTCTTTGTTGAGAGTTTTTAACATAAGTGGATGTTGAATTTCGGCAGATGCTTTTTCTACATCTTTTGAGATGATCGTGTGGTTTTTAAGGTTTCATTCTGCTCACATATTGGCTGACTTGCAGATGTTGGACCATTGCTGCATCCCTGGAATAAATCCCACTTGATCATGGTATGATCCTTTTAATGTATTGTTGAATTTGGTTTGCTAATATTTTGTTGAGGATTTTTGCATCTGTGTTCATCAGGGATATTGGCCAGTAATTTTCTTTTTTGGGGCTGTCCTTGTCTGGTTTTGGTATCAGGGTAATACTGACCTCTTAAGGAGGTTTGGAAGCATTTCCTCCTCTTCAATTTTTTGAAAGAGTTTGAGAAGGATATGTATGACATTTTCTTTGAATGTTTTGGTAGAATTCACGAGTGAAGGCTTCTGGTCCTGGACTTTTGTTTTTTGGGAGGTTCTTGATTACTGCTTCAGGCTCCTTACTATTGAGATTTTCTATTTCTTTGTGATTCAGTCTTGGAAGGTTGTAAGTTTCTGGGAATTTCTCCACTTCTTGAAGTTTCAACTTGTTGGCATATAATTGTTCATAATAGTCTCTTATGATTCTTTTGTATTTCTGTGGTGTCGATTGTAAGTTCTCTGCTTTCATTTCTGATTTTATTTATTTGAGGGTTCTCCTTTTTTCTCAGTTTAGCTGAGAAACGATATTGTCGATTTGTCGATTTTGTTTTATCTTTCAAAGAATCAGCTCTGTGTTTCATTGATCTTTTCTATTTGTCTTTTTAGTCTGTATTTTATTTTTTTATTATATATTTTTTTAAGCTTTATTTGTTTTAGAGAGCGCACACATGCAGGGGGAGGGGCAGAGGGAGAGGGAGAGAGAGAAATAGAGAACCTCAAGCAGGCTCCAACTCCGGGCTGAATGCAGAGCCTGATGTGGGGCTTGATCTCACCACCCTGAGATCATGAACTGAGCCGAAATCAAGAGTTGGCTTCTTAACCGACTGAGCCACTCAGGTGCCCTGTCTATTTCATTTATTTTGACTCTGAACTTCATTATTCCCTTCCTTTTGCTAACTTTGGGCCTCATTTATTCTTATTCTAGTTCCTGTCGTGTAAAGTGAAATTGTTCATTTGAGATTTCTCTTGTTTCTTGAGGTTGACCTCTGTTGCTCTGAACTTTCCCCTTAGAGAGTCACTTTTGCTGCCTCCCATAGATTTTTTTTTTTAAAGATTTTATTTATTTATTTGAGAGAGAATGAGATAGAGAGAGAGCATGAGAGGGGGGAGGGTCAGAGGGAGAAGCAGACTTGCTGCTGAGCAGGGAGCCCAATGCGGGACTCGATCCTGGGACTCCAGGATCATGACCTGAGCCGAAGGGAGTCTGCTTAACTAACTGAGCCACCCAGGTGCCCCGCCTCCCATAGATTTTGATGTGTCGTATTTCTGTTTTCACTTGTCTCTAGGTATTTTTAAATTTCTCCTTTGATTTCTTCTATGACTCAGTAGTTGTTCAGTAACATGTTTAATCTCCACATATTTGTAGTTTTTCCAATTCTATTCCTGTAATTGATTTCTAGTTTTCTACCATTGTGGTTTGAAAAGATGCTTGGTATGATTTCTCTTTAATTTGAGACTTGTTTTGTGGCCTAACATGTGCTGTAGGGAATGTTCGGTGTACACTTGAGAAGAATGTGTATTCTGCTGCTTTTGGATAGAAGGTTCTGTATATCATTTAAGTTCGTTGGTCTAATGTGTCTTATTAACGCCAGTGTTTCCTTATTGATTTTCTGTCTGGATGATCACGATTGATGGAAGTGGTGTACTAAAGTCCCCTGTTGGTGTGTTGCTGTCAGTTTCTCCCTTTAAGTCTGTTAATAATTGTTTATATGTTTTGTTGCTCCTACGTTAGGTGCATATATTTATCGTTGAATTTTAAGAATTTTTTATCTTTTGGTTACCACTTATTTTATCAAATATGTGTTTTGCAAATATTTTTTCCCAATCTGTGGCTTGTCTTCCCATGCTTTTAACAGCATAGTGTCTTTCACTGAGCAGAAGTTGTTGATATTAGTGAAGTCCAGCTTATCAGCTTTTTCATTCATTGATCCTCCTTTCAGTGTTTTATCTAAAAACTCATGGCCAAACTCATGGCCACCTAAGTCTTCTCCCGTGTTACCTTTTTTTTTCTTCCAAGTTTTTATTTAAATTCCAGTTAGTTAACATACAGTATAATATTAGTTTCAGGCTACGTTATCTTTTTATGTATCTTTATATCTTTAATAGTTCTGCAGTTTATATTTAGGTCTCTGATCCATTTTGAGTTAATTTTTGTGAAAGGTGTAAGGTCTGTCTCTCATCGAATTTTTTCACATGTGAATGTCCATTTGTTCCAGCACTGTTTGCTGAAAAGGAAGTCCTTTGTCCGTTGGCTCGCCTTTGCTCCTTTATCAAAGATCAGTTGACTGTGTGTGTTTCTTTCTCTGGACTCTCTGTTTCATTCCATTGATCTATTTGTCTCTTCTTTCACCAATATCGTTGATTACTTTAGCTTTTAGTGTCAGTCCTTCAACTTTGTTCTTTTCCTTCAATATTGTATTAGCTACTCTGAGTTGTTTGTCTGTCCATATACATGTTAGAGTCATTTTGTTGATAGCTACAAAATACGTGGCTAGAATTTTCACTGGGTTTGTGTGAATGAATATATGTATATGTGTATATATATGTAAAATTGAGAAGAGCTGGCATCTTAATAATACTGAGTCTTCCTGTTCATGTCCATGGAATATCTTTTCACCTACTTAGATTTGCTTTGATTTCTTTCTTCTGAGTCTTGTCATTTTGTAGTTTTCTTCATGTAGATCTTGTACATACTTTGTTAGAATTATACCCCACTATTTCATCTGTTTTGGTGCCGATGCAAATGGTATTGTGTTTTTAATTTCTAATTTCAATAGCTCATGGCTGGGATATAGGTAAACAATTGACTTTTGTATATTAACCTTGTGTTTTGCAACCTTGATATCAGTGCTTATTGGTTCCAAGAAATTTTTAGTTGATTCTTTGGGATTTTCTACATCCTATCTGTGAATAAAGATGGTTTTATGTCTTCCTTTCCAATCTGTATACCTTGTATTTTCCTTCTCTTTTTGCATTAGCCAGGACTTCCAGTATAATGTCAAGTAGGAGTTGAAAATGGACATTCTCTGTTTTGTTCCCAATCTTAGGGGAAAAGCGTCTAGTTTTACATCAAATTATGATGTCAGCTATAGGTTTTTTTGTAGATGTTCTTTATCAAGTTGAGGAAGTTCCCCGCTATTCCTAGTTTGCTGAGAGTTTTTATCATGGGTGTTGTATTTGGTAAATAAACTTTTTATTTTGGGGTAATTTCTGATTTACAGAAAAGTTGCAAAGGTAGTAGAGAGAATTTCCATATACTCTTCATCTAGTTTTCCCTAACGTTAGCGTCTTCCATAACTATGGTCCTTTTGTCAAAACTAAGAATAGTATTATTATTAACTAAATTTCACACTTTATTCAGATTTCAAGTTTTTCCACAATTGCCCTTTTTTTCTGCCTCAGGATCTAATCTAGTGTATCACATTGCAGTTAGGAATCATAGTAAAAGAAAACAATTGAAATAGTCTAGTAGCTTCCTAGTTAATTTTTGAATTCCTGAGGGCCCCAGGGGCCCCACTGAGAGTGGTATTGGAGGGGTTTCAGGCCCTCCACCATGAAAACTTCAGTTAGGGCAGCTCTGCTTGGATCTGTTTCATTTGAGACAGTAAGTTTCATATGCAAAATTAAACTTGGTTTTATAGATAAACCAATTTAATTTATAAGAGGACAAACTGTAAGGCCAAGGTCACCTTGCAAGTCAGTTACAGAGCAACGACTACTCAGTCTTGGTCTTCTGGACTCGCACAGTGGCTTCCATGTATCATTACTGTGCCTTCTCTTCTACCTCCATGATTTTCCTTTCTGTTTCTCATAAGTATTGCTTTCAGATCAGACGTGTGTTAGCACTTGTAGTTTGCTGGCATTTCTGTTTTCGGTATACCAGTAACCAAACTGTCAAATTCTTCAAGGAGCTACCATAGCAGGGTCCTTTAGCTGTAAGATCATCTGACATTGGAGACATGGACAGAAACATTCAGAGGGACTTCAGTGAAATGGCTTTGACTATATATGAATAAAGGTGCTAAAGCTAACATGGAGATTTATTATCTGCTTGGTTTTAAATATAGTCCTTACTTTATCGTAATGTTTTATATACATAAACACCTTGCATACAAGATGATGCTCCTGATACCTTCTTTTTGTTTTTACAGCATTGGATTAAACTGTGCTCTGGGTGCAGCTGAAATGAGACCTTTTATTGAAACAATTGGAAAATGTACAACAGCCTATGTACTCTGTTATCCCAATGCAGGTGTGTATTTCTAGGGAGTTGCACATGGGGAAATCCAAATACACACGACGGGGTAGGTAGGGTTAAAAGAGTTTGGCCAAAAGAATTTGTTTTGCAGGTCTTGGTACGTAGTTGAAATTCAGTGGCCATTTTCTAAATGAAGAGTATTTGGGTCTAGACCACCGCTTGCCTCTAGACCTGAAGGAACAATTTGACTCAGCCTGCAAGCTTCAGGATTGGACAGAACTTTGGGGGATGAAGTCTAGTTACAGAGCCTTGCTTTAGGTGACAGTGCTGGCCATGGGAACACAGCCAAAGAGATGAGTGCAAAGAAGAGGAGAGGGAGCCCTCCTCTCTGTTCTGTGTTAACAATCTTTGTCAGCTTTTTCCTTTCTAAAAGTTAGCACTTCTAGCTTACTATATATAGATATAGATACAGATATTTTTTACTGTTCTAAAACTATTCAATTAGAAATTAGTAACCCATTCTGCATTAACCAGATTTTCTGGTGAATGTTTTTGAGTATTTGCTTAGCTCCTTAGGGCTAACAATCATTTTCCAGCTTTCTTTCTCCAAATATGTATATCTTAATGCTCACCAAATTTTATTTCCCCAGAAGGAGTAAGATAACTGGAAGGAGCTAATAAATAAAACAGGAAATTGGTTAATTCGATGCTAAAATTTTACTTGGGAAAATTTATTTGAGCATTTGGACTTGGAAAAATTTATTTGAGAACTGGTTGTGTTTTGAGTTTGTTTGTTTGTTTTGTTTTTTTTTTTAAAGATTTTATTTATTTATTTGAGAGAGAGAGAATGAGAGACAGAGAGCATGAGAGGGAGAAGCAGACTCCCTGCCGAGCAGGGAGCCCAATGCGGGACTCGATCCTGGGACTCCAGGATCATGACCTGAGCCGAAGGCAGTCGCCTAACCAACTGAGCCACCCAGGCACCCTTGAGTTTGTTTTTAATTCATATCGCCAGGTGCTCATTAGTTCAAAGGGTATGTAGTAGTCCCCAACTTCTACTCCCAAGCAGCTAGCTGACGAGATTGAGCTTCCTCTGTGGGAAGGGGATAGGGTTGGAGAAATTCTGTCCCATATAGTAGTGACTTTTTTCTTTCAAATGGAAGAGAAATAGCCTATGTTTATTTGCCTCTGTGATTTTTTTGGGGGGCGGGGAGAGGTGTGGTATCTCTGCATTTACCATGTTTGATATTAAGAACTATTATTTGTTTTTGCAAGTAATCACCATTTAATTATAAATATAAAATTTCCTAACTTTTAAACCTGTAGCCTCACAAACACTAGGCTATTTGTTAAGATGGTTTTCAGTAATGCTTGAAATGTGCTTTCTTAGGTCTTCCCAACACATTTGGTGACTACGATGAAACTCCACATATGATGGCCACGCAACTAAAGGTTAAGGATGGTCTTTCATTTGGTTTTTTAAGAGTTGGAGTAATGGAAATCTTAGATTTAGAATATTTAAAAGTAGAATTTTCTCCTAAAGAAATCCCAGTGTCTATATAACAAAAGCTTACCCACTCTGAATTACGATGGTAGAGGCAGAGGGATGGGCTCGCCGGCAGCATTTTTCTCCCCATCTGGCCCTGGGGCTGTTGGAAAATCCCCAGTCAGGCTGGACCCAGACTAATTGAAACTTCGCTGTCTTCTGCAGTCCTCTCATGTGGTGGCTTCCCTCCCCCACTCCACCCCAACCAAACTTCTGGGTGGAGTAGGTGTCCTCCTTGCTCCCTGTTGTCGCCTGCACACCTTATCACCCACACACCTCCCATCTTTGAATCCCAGGTCATGGGACCATACTGCCCACTAACCCCTGGGTCTGGTCTCTTCCTCATTCCTTGAACTTTCAGCTTCTGGCTCACTAACATTTTCTCCTAAACGATTTCTGACTTGATTCTTGTGATTTCAGTTCCTTATCTAGTAGATAATCTTTCCAATACTCTGACTTCTCAGTTTCTTGACTTCCTGTCTCAGTTACTGTCTTTCGCTAACTAGCGTATGGTTAAACTCTAGACCCACACTGCCCAGTATGTAGCCACTACCATGTGGTTATTGGAGAACTTGAAATGTGACTGAGGAACTGAATTTTTAGCACACAGGCGCACATGAGCAGGAGGAGGAGCAGAGGGAGAGGGAGAAGTAGGCTCCCTGCTGAGCAGGGAGCCCGATGCGGGACTCAGTCCCAGGACCCTGGGATCATGACCTGAGCTGAAGGCAGATGCTTAACCGACTGAGCCACCCAGGCACCCCTGAATTTTTAGTTCATTAAGATTTAAAATTAACTTAAATATAAAAACTGACGCTCACTTTATGTGTTATTTGGTACACTATCCAGCTCACAGTCATTCACCTCAGCATATGGGGAAAAAAAAAGTCTCTATTATGACCAAGTAGGCAAATGATTATGTCATTGTACTTATAAATGGTGTAAAGGATTTCATAGCATCTGGACTATTTTCTGCTTTTAAACTTAGATCCAGGGCGCGTGAAAGCTTTATATCTTGGATTAAGTATGTTTAACTCTCTTTACAATGAAAAATTCATTATTCGGGAAACATAGATCTCCTGCTGAATTGGTGGAAGCGAGTTTAGAATTCAGATGGGCTCTGTGAAACTTTTTCTTTTCCGAAATGCAGGCCTTTGCTGTGGATGGCTTGGTCAATATAGTGGGTGGTTGCTGTGGTACGACACCAGATCATATCAGGTAGGAATCACTTCTAAATACGCTCTTTTGTCATGGGACCAATCATGTCCTCCACCCCCCACCATTCATGTGTTGAAGTTCCAGCCGCCCAGTTCCTTTGAATGTGACTGTATTTGGAGATAGGATCTTTAAAGAGATAATGAAGGTACGATGAGATCCTGTGGGTGGACCCTAATCCAGTGTAACTGGTGTCTTTGTGAGACAGACACACACAGGAAGGGATCGAGTGAACACATAGGGGGAAGACGGCTGTCTCCAAGCCGGAGAGGCCTGAGAGGAGACTGGCCCTGTCCACACGCCTTCGTCTCAATTTCTAGCTTCCGGAACCTTGAGAAATTGCTGCTCTTTAAGCTACTCAGCCTGTGGTATTTTATTTTGGCAGCCCTAGCAAACTGAGATGCCTTTATATTGTGAAAAATTCCAATAAAAGTAGAAAAATAGTAAAATGAATTTCCATGTGCCTACCACAGAGTTTCGATAATTTTCTAGATTTTGCTATTCTTATTTTGTCTGTTTTCCAACTTTTTCCCCCTTAGAATGTTGTGAAGCAAATTCCAGATATCATGATATTCTATCACTTAAATACCTAACTAGTATTCAGAAAATTAAGGAGGAACGGTTCATATATCTTGTGGGCAAGTACATGTGTCCATTAGTTGTCTCATGGAAGGGGAAGACAGTAAGACAACCAGGTACCTTAAGGTCATTGCGTACTCCATGTTGTTGAGTGAACGTGTGAAACATGTGTGGAAGAAGAGCCTGGTGGAGTATGTGTTCAAGTCCTTGCCATTTTGTGGCTAAGAGGAATAAGAAGTGGAATAAAATCCAGTTTCAGACTGTTTGTAATTTGTTTTTTCTCTCCTGTGACTGATGATCCTGTTTTGAGCCAGTCATCTCACTGTTCTGAGTCTGTTTTTGTGCACGCGATGTGTCCACCATCCTGAATTACCTAACAGTTCACTGCTTTTGTTGGCTTCTGTGATAGACTCTGTGAAGAGCCTATGGAATTTTTAAAATATCTTTTTTTTTTTTTTTTTTAAGATTTTATTTATTTGACAGAGAGCGAGAGAGGGAACACAAGCAGGGGGAGTGGGAGAGGGAGCAGGGAGCCCGATATGGGGCTCGATCCTGGGACCCTGGGATCATGACCTGAGCCAAAGGCAGACACTTAACGACTGAGCCAACCAGGCGCCCCTGAAATATCTTTTAAATAGTATCTAAAAGCTATCAGTAGTTTAAGGTGGATCTCTTTTTGTTTTTAAATCTTTGAATCTCTTTTTGTTTTTAAGATTATCTCCTCCTTTTTAAAAAAAGTTGTTTTAAAAATACCTGTGTGTTTGTGTTTCTGTGTCTGTGTATCTGCATGCAGGTATATGTATGTCTGTATCTACTTACCTACCTACCTGTGTGTGTGTGTGTGTGTGTGTGTGTTTGCTGCTTTTACTTTGGCATACCAGTCTAGGGGGCAGCAGAGTGAGGAGTTCATACTGGCCCTGATAATTTAGTGGAGTAGACAGATTTTTCCAGGTTGATTAAAGACATAATTTACCAGAGCCAATAAGGTTAAAAAGTATATGCATAATCAAAGCAAATTTTGAAGACTAATCATCTTGGAGTTTTAGTGATTTATTACCATGGACCCTCCCTACTCTGTGCTTTCTGTGCTTGGGAAAAACTGACCTGAAACACGGGCCTCCACTCCTGGCACCTCTCCTGTATGCTCCTCCTTCTCAATGATGAAGCTTTTTTTTCTTTTAAACCACTAAGAAGCAAGCACCTATTTCATGGAGTAAAGGGCATCTATGGGTTTGGGAAAGAAAGGAGATTTGCTGTTTGCATTTGCGTAAACCATTACGTATGTCGGTTTCTATCTCTTGAGGGCAGAAACTGGTGCAGTCAGTACACAGCAGACTGGGAAAATACAGAAAAGTTAAAGTTGACACATTCATTTTCTGCATTGCTGAGAAAACTAAAAGGCATAACTGTTGCTGCACTTTTGGAATTAGGTATATAATTATGTGCATAATTATGTTAGACTTAATTTCATAGCTGGGAATTAGTTTAATTAAATTTATTTTATTTCGAATTAATGGAGATAGTGTTTTCTCTTTTAACTCAGGGAGATTGCTAAAGCTGTGGAAAACTGTAAGCCTAGAGTTCCACCTGCCACTGTTTTTGAAGAGCATATGTTACTATCTGGTAAGTGATAAAGTAATGATTTTTATCATTTCAGAAACCATTTGTGGGTTAATTTTGTGTTTATCCTAAGTGGTAGTGATGTGTGTGCCAAGCAGCTTGTTTCTTAGGTCAAGGAAGCGTCCATATTTTTTCTTGCATTTAGATGAATTCTCGTGAAGATCAGGGGTGGGAAATGGGCAGAAGGTACAGGTGGTTTGCCCGGTTGGGGCCCTTGCTTGGATTTAGAACTCACGTGGCCCTGGCTCTGTGAGGCACTGCTTTGAAAACATACTCTCGGCCACAGGCTAACTGTTGTAATCATCAGACTTGCTCTTAGTTATTGAAAATTCCAAACTGTCGAGGCTCAGTGGTTTGTCACGACAGCAGCCTCTTCGTAGAAAATTGTGCTTGCTTCTACAACATGATTGTCGCCATCTGAGATTCACCACGTATTTAGGACTTTACAGAGAGGTGTGGTATTGACTGTTCTCTGGTGCTCGACAGTCCCATAAGGTGGGCAGCTTCCCTTTTTGAGAACGAGTGTTGATGTTCAAATAAGGAACGTTAATAAAAGAGTTTATCATGCCATCCATTAGAAACATAACTTTAAATTTTATGTTTTCCCCATAATACTTCAATGATGTATTGTTAGGTAGTATTTCTAAGGAAAATAATTGTGTGTGTGTGTCTATATATATATATATATACACATATAGACACACACACACACACACACAGATTCTTAGAGAACATACAAATAGCGCACATGGGAAATTAGGCACCCTAATAATTTAGAATTTAGCATTTCTCTGAATTGAAATATTTTTGTTCCTTATGTTCCTCTAAGAAAATTGAAATAAAATACAAGGGAAAGTAAAAGGAACACCTACTTTTCTCAGTTGGAATATAACTTCATCGAATTCATCCCAGTGAGTGAGTGTGAAGTTGGGTTAAAAACCCTCTTCAGTCTTCCTTGTTTTCTTTTTGTTCTCCAGAAAACAGAGAGAGGTGTGGTAGGATAGTTTATTTCATCCTTAGATCTTAAAACTTGTTTGCTTCAGCCAAGGACTAGCAGTTTAAATAGTCAGCCTTTCCCACAATTGAAACAAGAAGAGAACCACTTAGATATGATTTTTATTTTAATTTATTTTTTTAATTAAGATTTTATTTATTTGAGAGAGAGAGAGAGAGACAAGCAGGGGGAGGGACAGAGGGAGAAGCAGGCTCCCCGCTGAGCAGGGAGCCCGACATGGGGCTCCATTCCAGGACCCCCGGGATCATGCCCTGAGCCTGAAGCAGATGCTTAACTGACTGAGCCACCCAGGCTCTTCTAGATACGATTTTTAAAGAAGAATTTAGATGTAAGAATAAAAGAATCCTCTTCTTCTGATTTGAATTTCATGTGCTATTTCTAAATTGCTTTAAAAATCACCTTCAATCAGATTTTAAAGAATGACATCAAACATACTCTTTCATGGATTACAAACTTAAGAAAAACGTAGTTTTTATATCAGATACTTCACATGTGTAACTGATGAGAAGCCCTCTGTATGCGGCACTCATAGGGTGATGATGCAGGACCCCTTGAGCATTTACGCGTAGGCCCAGCTGTCTGCCTGTCCTGCGTGCCCCCGGGTCTGACTAAGGCCCGGGGCCGCCCTGCGGCTCACTCGGAGGGTCACTCCCAGTGGGAAGAAATCATAGGACAAAACTGGGAAGGGATAGCTTCCCCAGTCCCTTAAACAGTCTGGAATACTTTTGTGATTGCTCATCTCATATTCGTTTTTTTCCTTTCCCTGATATTTTGTTCTTTCTCAACCAGTGCTTTGACGAAGGACACAAAAGCCATTTTCTCTTATTGACAACAACGGCTATGACTGCTGGTGCTAATTTTATGCTTATCAGTGTTCTCTAGTCTCATTTTTACAATAGTGCCATGAAATGTATGAAACAAGTATGAAAAACCATCCTTTTACATCTCTCTTTTATACGATCAGAAGCTATGAAAGAAGTGTCCCTGGGCTTTGAACCCGCGGCTGGCTGTCCCTCCATCCTTCCTGTAACCACCCTGCAAGCCCCCCTCGCCTCACACTTTCAGTAGAACAAGTAAAGCAAAAACAGTTAAGGGCTGTTTCTATAGTGATGCTTTACGCCTCATCTCGCTTTTTACCTCCGTGAATGTGTTCATAATTAGAAAGCCGGTATTTGCCCCTCAATTGGCCTGTAACAGGAGAGATACAAGGAGAGAGGTGCAGAGAGCCCCAGTTTTCCCAGCGTCAGCTCATGAGTGGGGGATGTGCTGCGGCAAATCCTGTCTCCCGGGGCTCAGCATGGGTCCTTCCTTGTGATCCCATTCGTCCTTGCTGGTTATAGGTTCATGGCCTCTGGATCAAAGACATAAGGTAAAGCGCTCAGCTCACAGCTGGTGTGATTATGAAAGCTTACTCCATCCGGCTTCAAGCTGATGTCTGGGTGGACGGCTGCAGAGTGATCCTTCTGATTCTAACTTCATGGCTTCCACCCCCCCACTCTTGGTGAAATAGGGGTATGATGATAATGTTTCCTTGTTTCTCAGAGCTGGTATGAAGCAGTTCTTTTTTTTTAAAGATTTTATTTATTTATTCATGAGAGAGAGAGAGAGGCAGAGGCAGAGGGAGAAGCAGGCTCCCCGCGGAGCAGGGAGCCCGATGCGGGGCTCGATCCCAGGACCCTGGGATCATGACCTGAGCCGAAGGCAGACGCTTAACTGACTGAGCCACCCAGGCGTCCCTGGTATGAAGCAGTTCTTTAGAAACATTTTGCATCTCCACTCCTAAAATACTTCCTTTGGGAGTTCTGGGTGTCCACGTAGCTGTAACATGTAGCCTTTGTTGTGTTTAAATATCCCTGGGGGAGGAGGCCATGGTCCTAATCCCACATCAGGGATCCTGTCTAGTCCTGTGGGCTGTGCTGCCGAAGCTTCTTTCTCAATGAAAACATTTGTTTTCTGTCTGTCTCATGTCATCATATGAATTTTCAGAAAATTTTCAAAATGCTTCTCCTTTTAAGGTCTAGAGCCCTTCAGGATCGGACCGTACACCAACTTTGTTAACATTGGAGAGCGCTGTAACGTGGCAGGATCCAGGAAGTTTGCTAAACTCATCATGGCAGGAAACTATGAAGTGAGCATCTCATTAAGACCCTTGAGGCATCTGCCATGTTTTTGGCTAGACAGCATGTAAATGAGACAGCTCTGCCTTCGAGAGTGTTATTAGCAGAGCTTCTGGGGACCGTGAGGAGAACGGTCACGTGTGTCTGCAGCAGGTGGGCAGGTGGGAGCCTGCGGCTTCGGGAGACTGAAGCTGCTGTTATTAATATTTGTCAAAAAGAACTGCCTCTGGGATCTGAAGTGGGGTGAGGTGGGAGGGATCCAGGTTCTGGCTGTTTCTATTAACTGTGAAGTAAGTTTAAGAATTTGAGAATACTCTTCATGTTGGCTTCTCACAAATCCTTCCAGGGAAAGGAGAAGCCAAGAGCATTCCTAGTCACTTCCTCGTGACCACATCCAACAGCTGACTAGTGCGGTGGTCTTGATTCTGCTGGCTCTAGACTAAAATAAACAAGCACACAGAAAAGAAGGAATAGGCCCCTGCCGTGGAGAGTCTACATGACGGGTTAGCCATAGTATTTCTCAGCTTGGTCACTCTGTGGGTCTGCAAACTCTGATCCCCATAGAGCCTACCCTACACAGCCGGATAGATTTTTTTTTTTTCTTACTAAAATAGTAAGTTAAACATTGGAGGAATTTAGTCTGGGCTTTCATGATGATTTATTTTATCATCAACTGTCACTTGGAGGTTTTGCAAGCTTTAGGAAATAGATTTTCCAGAAATCAGTATCAAAGCAGACTTCATTTTAATCACCAAGAAAGGAGCCATTTATCAGCCTTCATGGACTTATTAGTTACTGCTCCACGGTAGCACTCGGTGGCGCCCCTCTGTGGCACACCGACACGGCCTGCTTAGCTGCTTTGCTGGTTCCTGGCAGGTTCCGTCTGCCCTCTGCCCTGCATTCCTGCTGCTACTGCCGTGAGCTCTTGTCACAGCCCTCCCCCAGATCAGAAGCTTTCACAAGGTCACATTTTGTGCAGATGGGAGAAAATCCAAGCTCTTTAGGCCACCATTCATTTCGCTCACTTAGACACCAGACTGTCTTCCCATCCCGACCTGTCACCCGAACATTCCAGAAGGCTTGCTTCTGTACCCATGCCTTTTTTTTCTTGTTTGTTCCTCTCTGAAGTCCTGATGACCCTTAGTAGTTACATAGCATTCTTCAGTTGGCCATGTTTCTATTTACTTTTTGATTCTTATGGCCATTCTGTGGTGTCCCTTTGAGCTGTCAGATTTGATAGATTTGATACTGAGGACAGAGGGCAACTTAGGAACATGAAAGCGGATGGGAGTAATAATATCTAGCCTTCAGTAGGGTCTTACTATGTGCCAGTCATGGTGCGAGGTGCTTTCCATCATTACTCACCGAATCCTCACAGACCCATGAGATAGGTTCTATTGTTACCCCCATTTTTCCCACGTACATCTGGGAGAAGGCAAACTACTCACCTGTTGTTCACAGCAAGTGAATGATAGACACCAAGGCCACTCTGCTGTCCCTGCCTGCAGGACACAGGAGGAGGCAGTGGGATCTGTCAGGGGGCCGCTAGGGCTGACTCCTCATTTGATTCTACTTTTCCCTGAGTTAGCGATCCCTCAAGCCTTTGTGGTTTAACGGAAGGAGCACTGACCTTGAAAGAAGCTCCAGGGCTGATTTTTGCTCACCTTGTACAAATGACGTCATCGTAGCGAGCCCATTTGGGAGGGTTGGATCTCCAAGGTTTTACTCCGTGACTTTTCTGGAATAGAAAGGTCAGGTATTGGCATCTCTGCTTTCCAGCTCTTTCGATCTCTGGTCTCACCAGTTTGCTGGCTGTCTCCGCTCTGCTTCCTCCAGTCTGTCTCCCAGGGGCCAGCTGAAGACTGTTCCTCTGAGGTGGCTTCCTCCATTTCAGTCCGCAGAGACTGGCCCTCTCCTGCTTTGCAGGCCGTCTCGCACTTACTCACACCTCACATGGCAACACTGCTGGCTCTTTGTGTGACTATGTCATATGTCCCCAGCTAGATGTAAGCCCTCCAGGAACAGGGATTGGGACGCATGCTTTCGATTCTTTATAATATTTCACACATTGCCAATACTGAAAAAACATTTTTTGATGTGCTGAATTTTATTGTGATCCTTTTCCTGTGTAACCTTGGGTCATTACGAATGGTCTTTCCTTGTGGCATATGCAAAAGGTCTCATGCCTGCTCTGTCACAATGATTAAAATTTCGATGTCGTTTTCTTAAGCTAAAGAAAAAATAAGACAACATCAGAAGCTACTATTGATTTTATCCTTATTTATTTTATTACATTACAAAGTGTACGATGAAGACCTAAAATAAACCCTGTTTTATCAGTTAGTTAGAAAGCATTATGGAACGTGTATATTTTGCCCAGCATTGTTCAAAGGAGAGCAGGAGAAACCTAAGACCTTTCCAGAGTTCCAAACACTTACACTCTATTTTGAGGAATAAGCTAATACTCATGAAATCCTGGGGAAACGATGATCTCATAGACCACGATGATGTAATGATCACAGTCATTGCAGAAGTTACAGAGGCAGCACGTCATTGTGGAATAAGCCATGTTTCCCACCCAAAGTATGTTTTCTGGAGCACTGAGCCTACAAGATACTCCTTCAGTGGTCACAAGTTGGGAAATGCTGCGTATTCTGTTCTTGGATATTTACAGTGGGTGACAGTGTATTAAAGGATTTGAAAAGCCTTCCAGTATAAAAATCTGTTGGATTTTATTTAACTCCTATTTCATGTAACTCTTACCAACAGTCTGCAACACACTTTGCATGTCTTGGCAAACACTGAAGAGTCACAGAAGTTGTGGATGGTTTCTCTGAGGACTTTTTTGGAGGAGCTGGGGCTTGAGCTGGGTCCTAAACAGTATAGAAGGGAAAGGGATTGTATCCCAAGCAGAGGAGACAACTTGATCTGTGACCCTGAAGTGGAAACAGATGTGGTTGGGTGAAGGGAACCAGGAGGGGAAGAGTGGGGCCGGGTCACAGAAGGCCTGGAACGCCAGGCTGAGGGAGTTGAGCTTCTTTATGGCAGGAGGACAGAGCCTTGGTGGATTCTGAGTCGTGAACTGAAATGAGGGAGGAGATGTGGAGGAAAGGCCAGTCATCAGATTGTGATGATGGATGGGAGGAGAGCAGGCCGGGACTTGGGGAGGCTGGTTCATCCTGTCTGATTTGAAAGGACTGCTGGGGTGGTAGGGATGACTTTTGTAGCCTTCTCTTGAGTCACCTTCTCCTAATGCTGCCTCCTCTGGCATTCTTCCTTCAGGAAGCACTGAGTGTTGCCAAAATGCAGGTGGAAATGGGAGCGCAGGTGTTGGATATCAACATGGATGATGGCATGCTGGATGGTCCGAGTGCAATGACCAGATTTTGCAACTTCATTGCTTCCGAGCCCGACATCGCCAAGGTTGTACAAAATGAGGGGATTTACCTGCCCTCATCTGTCACTCATTTAACTTTGTCACTTGTCCCAGGGATCCGTCATCTCACGCCCTGGTGTTCTCTTTTCCTACAGTGAAAGTGAACGGTTTCTGTTTGTCACTTTCTTCCCTAATGGTAGTCTTTCGATATAAACCAGAGAGAGTTGTGACTTCAGCTCAGCTGTTTCCAAGGCTTCTGGAATTGCTCACAAGAATTGAGTTTCCTCTGATGTCTGGATGGACTAAGAACCTCCTTCCCACGTCTCTGAAGGACATTAGTTGCCTGTTCCTACCAAGACATTAGTTCTGTTCTGGGCACAGGGTCACTCAGGCAGTTCTTCCTTATTGCGGGAGGAAGAGACCTTCTGGGGCTTATCAGAGTAAACAAAACTATAAAACAAGATTAAATCAAAATAGCATATGTCAGCTTTTACATTTGTTCTTTAAAAGATGAAAACTAATTTGTGTGTCCAGTTCTTTAAAACATTTTTTAGGTGGATCCTAAAATCTTTAAAGTTTTTACTTCATTTCTCTACCATTGAATTTGTGATGGAGAAGTGATTTGTGAAGTTCTTTTTTAAAGAAACTTCCTAGTGCTTTGAGAGACGGGGCTGTCAGTGTTTCGTTAGGCCTTCAGCCAGTGCTTAAGTCAGGCGTCTTGCGGTAAGCAGTGGATTACATTAACCCATCTTTCATTTGTGTCTTTAAACTCCTCAGTAAAAAGCCTCATCACTCCTCTGGGAGTAAATATTTTGAGAATTTAAGGTACGGAGAAGGGGGAGCAGCTGTTCATCAGCTGAGGGGTAGGAAGGGGGCTCTGCTGGGAGTCGGAAGACTCTTACGGTCCCAGGCAAGCCAACTGACCATTGACCCGAGTTTCCTTCCTCTGCCCTGAAGTGGGAGCAGTCATACCTGCTGTGTCTGACTCTCGAACCCTGAAGATAAAAGTGCCTTCACTATGAACAGCCTTGTGTAACTTAAGACATTGTTAATTAATTACTGTTCTGATTGCTCCAGTAATTGTTCTTCCTTATCTTTCCTGGATTGGACCTCCTACCACAATTTATTTGAGACCAAATTATGAACAGCTGGAGTCGAGCATAAAAAGGTGCGACTAGCACATTTTCACCAGCGGAGTTGGGACACCACACTCAACCAGCACTTTAAAACATTGGCCTGCTATTGGCACTAGTACTTGACCACAAACCTGTCATTACCAGCGTGCTGGGAAAGGGTAGAAGTGAGAATCCCTTGTTCCGTTGTGCTCTCTCTCCTTTGGAGGTGGGCCTGAGGAAGAGCCGATTGCCCTGGGAACCTTTCCGTGATTCTCCTGCCCGCCCCCCATGCACAGGTGGGGTCTGGTGCCCCTGAAGCAGGCTTTCATGACAGCTATGCCCCTCTCCTGCCCTCACGTCCCCCACACTTTATGTCGTTACTTGTTAAATTGTTTATCTTTATAAAGCTCGGGGAAGCCAGGGAGCCACCAACTCTGTCATTGCCCCCAAGGCTAGCGTGCGGCCTAATGTGGTTGTCGCTTAATTATATACTTATTGAGTGACTTAAGCAAAGGAGCCTAGATCAGCTGCCCTGTTTCATTTCTGTGCTTGACTCTAGTCCTGCCTCGAAACCCTTACTTTCACCTTTCCCGGAACAGAGGCATGAATGCATGGAGACTAGTAAAATTGGCCCTGTTCTCATCTGTGCCTTCCAACTTCGTCCTTTCTCGTAGTTATATACATTTATTAAATATTACGTCTTTTCCTTTCTAAGAGTAAAATTTTGTCTTATCCAGTCAGGAACTTGATTTTCTTTCTTTTTTAAAGATTTTTTATTTATTTATTTGAGAGAGAGAGAATGAGAGAGAGCATGAGAGGGAGGAGGGTCAGAGGCAGAAGCAGACTCCCTGCCGAGCAGGGAGCCCGATGCGGGACTCGATCCAGGGACTCTGGGATCATGACCTGAGCCGAAGGCAGTCGCTTAACCAACTGAGCCACCCAGGCGCCCAGGAACTTGATTTTCTAAAGGGAAGATTGGATGTGAATAACTTGGCTGGAGGGCTGTTCCCGAGGATGTGAGGCCAAACCTTAATCCCAGAGTCAGATCAGGGATACCGGAATCCTGTTTGAGCTGTAGGCACTGGAAGGTGTAAACTGGGAATGAAGCAGATGGAGCTGAGCTCTGTGATTTCGTCCTGGTATTTAGCTGGGATCTTTGATGTGTGTAAATTTTGGACTCATGCATGGGGTCGCCTGTAGGACCGGAATCACTCCAAGTGTTATGGGCTTTAAAAGAACAAGTACATTAAAATCCTTTTTCTGCCACACTGTTATTGGTGTACTGTTTCCCTACATACTAAATGAGGACTGGGAGCTGGCCCTCAGAAGGGAATCTGTGTGACCTGTGATTTTTCCCTGATTCTTCCTGCCCCTCTGGTCTAGGTGCCCTTGTGCATCGACTCTTCCAATTTTGCTGTGATTGAAGCCGGCTTGAAGTGCTGCCAGGGCAAGTGCATTGTCAACAGCATTAGCCTGAAGGAGGGAGAGGATGACTTCTTGGCGAAGGCTAGAAAGATTAAGAAGTTTGGAGCTGCTGCGGTGGTCATGGCTTTTGATGAAGAAGGGCAGGTGAGTGATTTCTTTGGACCTCGCTCCATGGCGTTCCCTGGGCGAGACAGAGCAGTGGAAGAGAACAGAGTCTGAAACAGCTGTGTAAACACCACAAATGTATATGTATACACATAGGCACACACGCGCGCATCATACACACGTACAGACACTTGTATCCGTGTGTGTGTGAAAATTGGATGTGTAGTAGTCGCTGTATCGATGGAGAAAGGAATTATTCAGTAAAAGCTATTAGACCTACTGGCTGTGCACTTGGGAGAAAATAAAGTACAGACCTATTTCCCACCATCTACTAAAATAAAGTCTGCGTCAATGAACGATCTAAACATATAAAGCAAAATTCTAAAGAGTGTATGGGCAAATCCTCACCTAAAGTTGGGAAGCCAGAAGGAAAATTAATAGAGCTATCCGCATGGGAATGTAACACTTTCTCTGGTGAAGGGCATGGTATTATCTGCAACATGAGTAGTAACAGCGGGTTAATAGCCCCAATATGCAGCGTTTCTGTAAATCAGAAAATAAAACACCCAAATCAACCCAAAAGAAGATAAAGGAAATGAATAAGCAGCTTATAGGAAAAAATGCAAATAGCCAATAAACCTATGAGAAGATACTATATGTTACAATGATTAAAGATAGGAAAAAGGAAGCATTAATGAGATATTTGTTTCTTTTAGCAAAGAGAAAAAAAGTAAAAGATTGACACATGGCACCTCTCATAATGTCTCTGCTGTGGAGTCAGGGAGGGGCAATGGGAAACTTCAAACATAATGATAGTTCATCCGAGGGAGGGCATGCAGTGATTATATTGTATTGTTGCTTTATTATTTTTTTAAAGATTTATTTATTTTAAAGAGTGAAAATATGAGTGGGGGGTGGGGCAGAGGGAGAGAATCCTCACGCAGATCCCCACTGAGTGCAGAGCCCGACCGGCTGATCTCATGACCCTGAGATCATGACCTGAGCTGAAACCAAGAGTCGGATGCTCAACTGACTGAGCCACCCAGGCGCCCCTGTTGTTGCTATATACCTCACATGACTTTTACAACTATTTTTGTGTCTATTCAATATTTTTTAAAAAACAATGAAAAAAACTCCATTCCTTATGAATCAGCCCCCTCTTGGAATTTAATAATAAGCTGATATGTAAGGGTATATGTTCACACTTATTGTGGCTCTGTGGTAGCGAAAAATGGGAAATACTCTGAAAGTTCTTCAGTAGTGGAATACCTTGGTTCTTACTACATGCCATAAGGAATACTGTGTACCAGGTAAAAAGAATGAGGTGATGGAAGCCATGGAAACAATATATCGGAAAATGGAAAAAAAAACCTAACAGGTGACATGATTCTGGTTTTATTTAATAAAGAATTAATATGGGTATATGTGTGTCTGTATAAGCAGAGAAAAAAATTGCTAGGTAACTGGAGGGTAGGGGTGGTTTCAGATGGGGACATACTGACTTCTTTTATATAATTGACAAACGGGATTATATGTTGTTTTTCTTTCTCTGCTTTGTGTATTTTTAGAATAAAATTATTTTTAACTAAAGGGTTATTGTATTTGTACAAAAGATGTATTTTCATCAGGAGAGAAATTCAAATAATTCAGAAGAGTGCAGAGGAGATCATTTTGATAATGAACGGGTATTGAACCTTTACTCTTACCAAGCAGGCACACCTCACACGTTAAATCAGCTTTTCCTCCCAACGTATAAATGTTGGGTATATATGATTATTATTTTTGTATTCCATGCACTTGAGTCCCTGTTATCACAGGTAGCATGTAGTAGTACTAGGATTTGAGCCGAGATCTGCTATTATTCAGCAGAGTGAAATGATAGTTGTTTCTTGATTTTTTAGTGGAATGAGTGTGGTCAGCGAATACCCTAATTCATTCAGTCCTTTACCCCTGTGCCCTGGTTTTCCTCGTCCGTTCGTGGAAGTGGGGCTGCTAGGTCAAAGCGCATGCGCATGCAGCATTTGGACACACGCAGTTAACTCCTGCGTCTGCGAAGTTGTTACCCAGTCCTCTTCCACTACTAGTTCCGTGTGGTGGGACCCTCGGACATAATTTTTAGTTCCAGAGACAAATGGTTCTGTGTGGCTCTTTATGGAAAACAGAAGCCCGCAGCCCTCTAGACGCCCAGAGGCACCGGTTGTCAGCTTTCTTATCTGCTCCTTGTAGCATTTACCTCCTTATCTCCAAGTCCCCGTTTCCGCTGTTATTCATTGCCTCTCTGTAGTGCCCACAGATTTGGCATTTTTACTCTCCTCTACCCCCTCCTTCCCACATCTTTCCTTTCTCCCCACACCCTCCCAGTACAGTTAATTTTAGTCGTAACTATTTTCGGCGCTCACATCAGTAAGCAGTGCACAGGCTGAGACAGGGTGCGAGAGCTCCAGTCCTTTCCTGCACCCCGAGATCAGGACTTTCTGTCTGCTTTGTTTCTTACAGATTGTATGTTCAGAATACCCCTGGTCGTGTACACTTCCAATATCCAGTGTATCCGGGCACACTCAGTAGACGGTCATTTTGATTTCTTGAAGAATTCTCCCTCCCAGTCTCCTGACATGGTCTGGAAGGTCGTAGGCTGGCTGCCCAACTGGCCCCTGAGCCACCATCCCAGGGATTCTTCTCGCCCCTCTCTCGGGCTTTTCCATCTCATAATGTCTGAGTTCTTGGCTTAATCTCTCATTTGGTGGAGTGCGTCCTCTGTCAGCTGCCTAGGAAAGAAAACATGGCAGTAAATATTTTTGAAGCCTTACATGTCTGAAAGGGGCCCTATTCTACTTTGACACTTCTGGGACAATTGTATGGGTATCGGAGTACAAGCTTGACATCATTTTGAATCGTTTTCCACACTGGTGCTCTTCTAACCCTTGGTTCTTTTTTGCAAAACCTATTTATCTTCCTGCTTTCTGGATGCTTCTTGGACCTTCTGTGTCCATGATGTTCTGAAATCGCTTGACGATGAGCCATCCATTATGTTGGGCCCTATTGGGCCCTTTCATTTGGAAAACTTGAGGCCACGGTTGTAGCAAGTTTTCTTGAATGGTTTTATCTTCTCTTTTGGCATGTGGGGCATTCAGATACTAGATGTTTTGGAAAGATTGCCTAATTTTCTTGTCCTTCCTGTTTTTTTCAGCTCTAGCATTTTGCTCTGCTCAGTGTGAGATTTCTACCCTTATATTTATTCTCCAGTTAAGTCTTTATCTCTTCTTTTTCTAGGAGCTCTTTGTTGTTGTTGTTGTTGCTGTTATCTAAGTGTTCTTTTAAGAATTGATATGGAAATCTGTTATTGTTTGATGGAGGCAGATACCGGCCTTAATCCTTTCAAATCTATCTTGAGCACCTAGTGTGTGCCAGGCCCTGGGGAGATTGCAGGGAAAAACCTAGTCTCTGTCCTTGTGCAATTTATATTCTTAGAGGGCAAAGGGAGTAAGAAACAAAAACACAGATCACATACGTCATCTAACATATATAGACATATGTGGATAAACTTGGGAATAATTTGTACATGGATGGGATTTAAAGCAGGGAGACTATTCTGTCACCAAAGGAATGACTGTCGAGCAGAGGTCCTAGGACCAAGTGCATCTTGGAGCTGCAGTGCTCAGGGCTGGGGAGAAGAGGAGACACCATCATCATCAGAAGAATTTGAGGAGGAGCATCCTATTTGGTAGGAGAGGAACCAAAAGACAGGGTTCACTTGGAAGCCAAGAGAAGAACAAGCTTCAAGAAAGGCATGATGAGCTATTTTAAAAGAGCTATGGTGGATCGAGTTGGATGAAACAAAGAATTTGTCATTGGATTTAGAAATGGGGTAGTTTATGATCTTGCTGTACTGTTTCTAAGGAAATGAAAGCCCGATTGGAGTGGGTTCAAGAGAGAATAAGGAGAATTGGAGGCAGCAGGTGTAAACAGCCTTTTTTGAGGAGTTTTGCTGTAAAAGGGAACAGAGACATAGTGTGGAAACCAGACATGGATAGGAGGTTAAGGAAGGGTGTGTGTGTGTGTGTGTGTGTGTGTGTGAGAGAGAGAGAGAGAGAGAGAGAGAGAGAGAGAGAAGATGGGTGATGTGACAGTATGTGTCCGGATATCTGGAAGCTGATGATGTGAATGGTCTGGTAGAGAGGGAAGAACTGATGCACCAGAAAAAGGGGGCATTTGCTGGGTCCGTGACCTTGTAAGTGGAGAGGGAGGGCAATCAGCGTGCTAGTGGAGGGGAAGCCTGGCTCACGCGGCGGGAGAGGAAGCCGAGTGTAAGAGTGCGGATCCAGAGGCACGCTGGGCGGTGTGCTGGTGGGAGTCTATAATTGCTTCTGTTTTCTCAGTGAAGGTAGGAAGCAAGGTCAGCTCTGAGAATGAGAATGAGAATGCAGTGTTGTGTGCTTTGCGTGTCTGTGGTGCTTAACCAGGAATGTGAGGCAGAAACACTCCCGTGGGGAAGGGTAGTCTCTATGGGTGCTTTTAAAAACCACGTACGGGGGCACCTGGGTGGCTCAGTCATTAAGCGTCTGCCTTCGGCTCAGGTCATGATCCCAGGGTCCTGGGATCGAGCCCCGCATTGGGCTCCCTGCTCGGCGGGAAGCCTGCTTCTCTCTCTCCCACTCCCCCTGCTTGTGTTCCCTCTCTCACTGTGTCTCTCTGTCAAATAAATAAATAAAATCTAAAAAAAAAAACCAAAAAAAAAAACCATGTACGTCCCTGGGCTCCACCCCTGGAGTTCCTGACTCAGTGGGTCGGGAGTGAGAGCTGGCTTCAGTAATTTTTTCATTTTTTTTCAAATTTTAAGTTCCAGTATAGTTAACACAGTGTGACATTAATTTCAGGTGTACAGTATAGTGGATTCAGCAGTTCTCTGCATCACCTGGTGCTTGTCACGACCCCATCACCTGTTTCACTCATCCCCCCGCCCCCGCCCCTCAGGTGACCATCAGTTGATTATCTAGTCAAGGGTCTGTTTTTTGGTTTGCCTCTCTCTTTTCTTCCTTTGC